CTACTCTACTCTACTCCTATTCCATTCCATTCCATTCCATTCCATATTTTCTATTCTATTCCATATTTTCTATTCTACTCTACTCTACTCATATTCTATTCTATTCCATTCCATATTTTCTATTCTACTCTACTCTACTCCTATTCTACTCTACCCTACTCTACTCCTATTCTATTCCATTCCATTCCATTCCATATTTTCTATTCTATTCCATATTTTCTATTCTATTCTACTCTACTCTACTCTACTCTACTCCTATTCTATTCCATTCCATTCCATTCCATATTTTCTATTCTATTCCATATTTTCTATTCTATTCTATTCTACTCTACTCTACTCTACTCTACTCTACTCCTATTCTATTCCATTCCATTCCATATTTTCTATTCTATTCCATATTTTCTATTCTACTCTACTCCTATTCTACTCTACCCTACTCTACTCATATTCTATTCTATTCCATTCCATTCCATATTTTCTATTCTATTCCATATTTTCTATTCTATTCTACTCTACTCTACTCTACTCTACTCCTATTCTACTCTACCCTACTCTACTCATATTCTATTCTATTCCATTCCATTCCATATTTTCTATTCTATTCCATATTTTCTATTCTACTCTATTCCTACTCTACTCTACTCTTGTTCTACTCTACTCTACTGTTCTACTCTACTCTACTCCTATTCCATTCCATATTTTCTATTCTATTCCATATTTTCTATTCTACTCTACCCTACTCCTATTCTACTCTATTCTACTCTACTCCTATTCTACTCTACTCTACTCTACTCCTATTCTATTCTATTTCTACCCTACTCTACTCATGGACATAGGCCTTCAGTTTTATGTTTCTTAAATTCATTCAGCTTTATATGGGCAGAACAGGGAAAATGTGGGTTTATGGTCTATTCCTTTATGTAATGGAAATCCAGGATGTAACAAAAACTGCTAGAAATGGACATGGGGTCCTCATTCCATTCAGCTTAGTGTTAATTTTGCCACTGCTCCCAACTCTAAAGAAGGACTATATATCTAAATTTTGTATATCTAAATTTTGCTGCATAGATTATGCATTTTATGAATAGTTGGATGCTCTACTGGGGCAAAATACACTGCCGCAACCCCCAAAAGCTGTATTTTGTTTATTTTCTTATCAGTGTTACATTTACACTTTCAAATACTAATTCAGAATTTGGCGGCTGTCCAGAAGAAGTTTATTTTATTGCTTGATGTTTTTTGTAACTGTCGTTTTAAGGCCTGCAATAGATAGCCTTGTTATCGTGAAATAACAATCTTGCAATCTTTTTTCCAGTCAGTCCATTTTGTGTACGTGGTAAAATAATTAAACGTTGAAAAGCAAAGATTAATAGTAATTTGACGTTTTGAGATGTATCTTGTTTGTTTCTCTCAGGTTAAATTTCCAGTGCAGTATATTTTAGATGCTTATATCTGATGCATAAAAATTCAGTAGAGATAAAGGTAGTCCTCAACATACGACCACAACTGAACTCAAAATTTCCGTTGTTAAGCAAGACAGTTGTTAAGTGAGTTTTGTCCCATTTTGCCACATTGTTATGTGAAGCAGTTCAGTTGTTAAGTTAGTAGCACAATTGTTAAGTGATTCTGGCTTCCCATTTGATTTTGCTCGTCAGAAACTTGACCCCAGGACACTGCGACCGTCATAAATATGAATCAATTGCCAAGCGTCTGAATTTTGATCAAGTGACCATGGGGATGCTGCAATGGTCATAAGTGTGAAAAACGATCATAGGCTGCATTCTTCATGCCATTGTAACTTGAAATAGTCCATAAATGAATTGTTATAAATGGAGGAATATCTATAGATACTAAGTTATGAACAGCCTTTATTAGCAGAAAGGAAAAAAGCATTAGTTGACCATAATCTGAGTTAATCAGATCAGGATTTTAGCATTAAATGAGGAGCATCTATTTAAAATAAAACAATAAATATAACATATTTGTTGCTTCAAATGTTTCTTCTTCCTTTCGCCATTTATGAAATCATACTTGTGGATTTAGCCTTTTTAAATCCAACATTTGGGGTTCTTTCTAATTAACATTTACAGTGCTTCGTTTTGTTTTGTTTTTTTCTTCTTGTCTTCACTGAAGTATTCAGTAAGAACCGAAGAGGTTTTGGCAGTTTACGTTGTGTGTGTTTTCAAACTATTCACCAATAGATCATGCAAGTCAAGTTACACAATGTGCTGATGTATAATTACCCCAGCTACTTAACATTGGTGAATGTTAACACATAAATGTTGGGAAATGGTGTAACTTGCCTGTGAAGGTTTAATTACTTAAGACTTTCTTACACCTGGTTGCATTTCCTGTAGTAAATCACGACTCTCCATAACAGAATTACTGTAACTAGATTGCAGCTGCAGAGCAAATCATAAGCAAAGGAGGAGATTGATTTGTAACGTTTTTGCTCGTGGCACATTCTTGGGATATCCTAACCCTGATTTTAAAAAATGGGATCAAATGCTTGAGACTATTTAAAAGGTTTTAACTGATTGATGAACGAGCTACTTCGCTTCAGTATTTGATGCTTCTCATGCATAGGAACAGGATAAAATTAAAACATAGATTGCACCATACACATATATAATTTAATGGTGGCCATTTTACAGTAATTCTCACTTTTACTTTCTAAAGTATTGCCTCATGAGAAGCATTGCTCTTTTGTATGGGAAATGAAAATGACTCTTGTTTTAATGAAGATGGCAAATTTATTTATATTTATATAAGGCTCATACATACAGCATAATACAGTGAGGGATGTAGAATGAAAAGACACAGTACACCTTTGTATGTCCTGAAGACTGAATGAGAGAGAGTTTGGGGTGGTTGTTTAAGGCATCAGACTTGTTGAGAAGTTGTGTCCAACCCATCGCGACCCCATGGACCATGTTCCTCCAGGCCTTCCTGTCCTCTACCATCTTCTGGAGTCCATTGAAGCTCACGCCTCCTGCTTCAGTGACTCCATCCAGCCAGCTCATTCTCTGTCGTCCCCTTCTTCTCTTGTCCTCCATCTTTCCCAGCATCAGGCTCTTCTCCAGTGAGTCCTTCCTTCTTATTAGGTGGCCAAAGTCCTTGAGTTTCAACTTCAGGATCTGGCCTTCTAAAGAGCAGACAAGGTTGATCTCCTCCAGGACTGACCGGGTGGATCGCCTTGCAGTCCAGGGGACTCGCAGGAGTCTTCTCCAGCACCAGAGTTCAAAGGCCTCCATTCTTTGGCGCTCAGCCTTTCTTAGGGTCCAACTTTCACAGCCACACATTGCAACTGGGAAGACCATGGCCTGGACTATGCACACTTTTGTTGGCAGGGTGACATCTCTGCTTTTTAGTATGCTGTCTAGATTTGCCATGGCTTTCCTCCCCAGGAGCATCAGAGTAGCAACTGTGAAATCTACTCCTGCCTTGACCACGAAGCTGATTAGGTGACCTTAGGCCGGTCACTCTGACTCAGCCCTAGAAAGACGGCAACAGCAAAACACATCTGAAAAACCTTGCCAAGAAAACCACAGGGAATTATCCAGACAGTATCCAAGAAATAGACACAACTGAATGGAGGGGGGGGGGAACAGGATAATTTTGTTTTCTGGTTTTATCCATGAGTTTGGATCTGTAAGCAAGGACACTATTACAATTGACCATGTAGGTAATATAGGAAAGTGCAATCTGAAAGTAATATTATTTGGCTATTTTTTTGCTGGTGTCTCAAGTTATATTAACGTTATACTATATATCTACTTGTCAGGATGTACAATGCTTTGACCTTAACCATTTTTTTTTTTTTTTATGTGGGCCCTTTGGTGCTCGCTGAGCTTGGTTGTTCTCTGGCAGACGTTTCATTATCCAGTTAGGTGACATCATCAGTGCTAGAAGAGTGTGGGGTTTGCTCTCCTTTGAGCACTCCACTCCCTTCTAACACTGATGATGTTACCTAGTTGGGTGATGAAACATCTGCAAAAAAACCCCCCAAGCTCAGACAGCACCAAGCACCCCACAGTCCTTCCTTCCTTCCTTCCTTCCTTCCTTCCTTCCTTCCTTCCTTCCTTCCTTCCTTCCTTCCTTCCTTCCTTCCTTCCTTCCTTCCTTTCCACTTCTTTCTAGTACTGATGATGTTACCTAGTCGGGTGATGAAACGTCTGCAAAAAACCCCCCCAAGGTCAGACAGCACCAAGCACCCCACAATCCATCCTTCCTTCCTTCCTTTCCACTTCTTTGTAGCACTGATGATGTTACCTAGTTGGGTGATGAAACGTTTGCAACCCCCCCCCCAAGTTCAGACAGCACCAAGCACCCCACAGTCCTTCCTTCCTTCCTTCCTTCCCTCCCTCCCTCCTTCCTTCTTCCTTCCTTCCCTCCCTCCTTCCTTCCTTCCTTCCTTCCTTCCTTCCTTCCTTCCTTCCCTCCCTCCTTCCTTCCTTCTTCCTTCCTTCCTTCTAGCACTGATGTGTTACCTAGTTGGGTGATGAAAAATCTGCAAAAAAAAACCTAAGCTCAGATAGCACCAAGCACCCCACAGTCCGTCCTTCCTTCCTTCCTTCCTTCCTTCCTTCCTTCCTTCCTTCCTTCCTTCCTTCCTTCCTTCCTTCCTTCCTTCCTTCCTTCCCACTTCTTTCTAGCACTGATGATATTACCTAGTCGGGTGATGAAACGTCTGCAAAAAAATCTCCCAAGGTCAGACAGCACCAAGCACCCCACAGTTCTGCCTTCCTTTCCTTTCCTTTCCCTTCCTTCCTTCCTTCCTTCCTTCTTTTCCACTTCTTTCTAGCACTGATGATGTTACCTAGTTGGGTGATGAAACGTCTGCAAAAAAAATCCCCAAGCTCAGAGAGCACGAAGCACCCCACAGTTCAACCCTGAGCTTCGATTATTCTCTTCTGTCAATTTTTTAATGTGTTTGCATTCCTTGTCTTCCCTCATTGCTTTTATTTTTATCCATTTATATGTGTATTTCCCCACTGCAGAACGAAGACACGGTTCAATGTGTAAATCTTCCTCATCTCCAGCATCTCCACCCTGCAATTCCAGGGCATGCCTAATACAGATGAAACCGAAATCCTGCATCGGTGGCCATAACTCAGTAAACAGCAACTCAAAGCCATTCAAAACGCCCAAAGACAATCTAATTACCTCCAGTAGCAAGCAGCATATGCTCTTTTCTTCAAAAATCTCAAGAGATAAACCGTGGTAAGTTGCGATTCTTGCAGACTCTTAAGTAACTTACGACCTTTTTTTCGCCACGGTTGTTTTCATTGCAATGACGTAAATAACACGGCCTTGATTAAATGAAAAATTTAACGTGACCCCCAAGACACTAACATGAGGGTTTGCTTCAGTTTTGATTTATTTTAAGAAAAAGGAGATGTTTCATAATTCGGTTTCCTGTATAATACTAGACCAGGGGGAGGCAGCCTCGGCTCTTTTATGACTCGTGGATTTCAACTCCCAGAAAGGGAGAGGTTTCCAAGCTGAGCCAGGCTGGCTGAGGAATTCTGGGAGTTGAGGTCCACGAGTCTTAAAGTTGCCAAGGTTGAGGACCCCTGATATAGGGCAGGGGTGGGGAACCTTGGCCCTTTTATGACTCGTGGACTTCAACTCCCAGAATCCCTGAGCCAGCCGTGCTGAGGGGAAAGGGAGAGGTTTCCAAGCTGAGCCATGCTGGCTGAGGAATTCTGGGAGTTGAAGTCCACGAGTCATAAAGCGGCCTAGACCAGAGGTAGGCAACCTTGGCTCTTTTATGACTCGTGGACTTCAACTCCCAGAATCCCTGAGCCAGCCGTGCTAAGGGGAAAGGGAGAGGTTTCCAAGCTGAACCAGGCTGGCTCAGGAATTCTGGGAGTTGAAGTCCACGAGTCATAAAAGAGCCAAAGTTGCCTACCCCTGTACTAGACGGTCATCCTTTCAAGAGATATTTCCTTCCAATAAAAAGTAGACTGTCCACGGGTGGACAGAAAAGCCGTGGAGCAGAAGCGACTTCCGACTTCCTGCCGGCTTCCCCAATGACCTTATTTGTGGGAAGCTGGCAGGACATGTAAGGAATCACAATCACATGATGTGGCTGATAGCGACGAGACTCCGGTGACCCCACTTTGCGAATACAACTGACGTGAAGACCCTTGAAATTTCAGTTACACAGAAGCAAGGATCCTGGATTTTGTACACATTTTTTTTTTTTAAGTTAGTGGATTTGAGGTACCTTGATTCAAAAAGGTTTCCTCCGGGATGCACCATTTGGATGAATTCAACATTACAGATAATGAGAAGCTGAATAGTGTATGGACGTACATGTATGTGTGGTTCTTTAAAATGTTTTTAGCGCAGCAGTAATACTGATATGTACCACAGAAAAAGATTTGTGCTGAGTGTTTTGGGTTCTGTTTTATTGATAAACACATTGTTAGAAATGATTAATTGGTTTGATTATTGTGTGTCATGAGATAATATTTAAAAAGCATACGAAAAGAAACAGGCAAAGAAACATTTGGGGATGTGATAATATTTTTTTCCATGATTGCATATTTATCTCTTATTAGAATTAAGTCTAAAATTGTCCACACCTGTTTGAAATATTGATAACAGGAAAGCCAAAAGATAAAAAATCATGGAATAATATCCGTCATTATTAATTTATATCAAAGCCGATTTTATGTCTTTTAAAAATGCTGATAGTTTTTTATACTAACAGACCTATCGCAAGGAGCCAGTAATTATGTAAAATTTAACGAACAAGGTAACTATCCAAAATTATATTTGCAAATGACAATTGAAGCCTTTCTTGGCGTTATTACAAATGGGCATATTTCCTGCCTCTATAGAGCAGTGGTTCTCAACCTGTGGGTTGGGACCCCACTTGGAGTCGAACGACCATTTCACGGGGGTCGCCAAACAACGCAGTCCGCCATTTTTCCCCCCCTTTTCCTTAGCTGTGCTATTCCCTTTTATTCTATTGGCTTTTGAAAGCCAATAGAATAGACTCTCTTGAATAGAGTCTAATTCTATTGGCTTTCCAAAGCCAATAGGAATTGTCTAGGCTGTCTCTGCCCTGCTGAGCCCACCAAAAGTCCCATTCTGCAAACGGTGCTGCACCAGTTGAGTAGTCCTCGACTTACAACCGGTTGAGTAGTCTTCGACTTAACTAACTCTGTATCTGATTCTATCGCGTCGTTACTCCTGAATTGTCCTGGATGGTGGGAGGCTTCTGCCTGCAAAGCTGCTACCTTCGTGTGAAATGTGGATGGAATGGATATTTGCACGTATTCACACAAAAAAAACCACACCTGAAAAATATCAGAAGTGCACAAAAGGCCTGCCTTGCATTAGAAAAAAACTATCGGAGAGCTATCATAGCTTTCTCTGTTTTTAGTCCTTGGCTACTAAATATTCTTAATTAGATTTTCATTCAGTGCTGCTTTAAACAAAGGCACTTAATGTTGCAAACTGTCTTATGAAATCAAAGATTGTCTTTAAAAAAAAAACAAGGTTCATAAGGACACTGTACAAGCAACCAATTTTGAGATTATAACTCTTTTTGTCACCTTCCTGCATTAGTGTCACGTGTAATAGGAAGGCAAGGTAATTGGTAAGAGTTGACCACGGTGCAGAAAATACATATTGAAGATTTTTTTTTTTTCCCCTTTGGTATTTCAGTGTTCCTGTTCCGGTGGTCAGTCTAGAGAAAATTCCTCATCTAGTGAAGGCAGATGGTGCCAACGTTAAAATGAACTCTACGGCCACTACTGCCATCACCACCACCTCCTCCGCCTCTTCCTCCACCACACCTGCTCCAATTAAGTCTGCTTTGACATCCAAATCGGTGGCGCCATCACCCGAAAAGATTTTGAACGGCAAAGGAGTTACGGTCGCATCCCTAGACAAGAAGCACCAAAATGGCACTAAAAACAGTAGCAAGTCTTACAAGAGAGTCTCGGGTAAGTAGTAGCACTGTTGCATGACTGAATGAGACGCCCTCGTTCTTCGTTAAGGACCGCCGGTTGCAGAGCGGCAAGGGATGTGCCTTTGCTGTTGTAAGGAACCGATTGCTCTCCTCACCTGTTCTTGTCCAGTTTCAAGATAAAATATCAATAAAATGAGAGGTCAGCTCGGCTTGGACTTCCCATTTTGCGGGCAACATACAGTAGTGGCCAAAATTGTTGGCCACTCTTCCCAAATTTTGGGAAAAGTGTACAGTAGAAATGCCACCTGTGGTTAAGTTCTCACCATTTTTTCTTCTAATTTCTTTATAACGGTAGCCTTGTTCACTTAATAATAATATTTTACATCGCTTTCTGGGCGACCAGTCAACTCTTTGCACCATGACTTTAATTTTATGACGTTTTGCAAGCTCACTAAATGAAAGAACACAAACAAACCCAACCCACTTGATAGCCATCACATAACACGCTGACAAATGTCCTCCTCTCGGCTTCAATACGTGACATCAATAACTGAATCCTACCGTGATCTGATTGGCTCATGGCCACAACAAGAGGACACCCAATTGGCTGTCTAAACACTCATGCTCATTGGCTACAATCAGATGAAGGAAAACTACCTGAGATCAACCTAAGCAAGTTGTGCTTCCTTTTTCTGGTTGTTTGGCTGTAACTTTTCATAGAATGCAGTACAGATAATTGAACAAACTTTGTTGCCTTACATTCTAAATTATCTTTCCATTGATATATCATTTTATGGTACTACTCAAAAAAAAAGTGGTGTTATTAGCCATCCAACCTCAAAAATACACTTTTCCCAAAAGGTTTCCACAATTTTGGCCATTACTGTAGTTTGGCGAAGACGAGATACAGGTAGTCCTTGGTGTACAGCCACAACGGAGCCTGAAATTTTTGTTGCTAAGTGAGACACTTACTAAGTGAATTTTGATCCGTTTTACAACCTTTCCTGCCACAGTTGGTCAGTGAATCACTGCGGGTTATGAAATTAGTGATGTAGTTGTTAAACAAGCCTGGCTTTCCCATTGGCTTTGGGAAAGAGGACCTCGCAACAGTCATAAATACGAGTCAGTTGCCAAGGGTCCAGATTTTGACACACAGTCAGTGCGAAAAACAGCCGTCAGTCCCTTTTTTCAATAGCCGGTTTTTTTTACTTCAAACGGTCACTAAATGAACTGTCGTAAGTTGAGGACTACCTGTATAAATCCTCTAAAATCAGGAAGGTGGTTCCCTTTGTTGATGGCAACAGCAGAACTTCTGACTGCTCTCCAGTTTATCTGGACAATAAATAATGGATTAGGTAGATCCCAAGGTAATTTTATTTAATAATAATAATAATAATAAAGTTAGAAGGGGCCATGGAGGTCAACTAGTCCAACCCCCTGCTTCCATTAGACGCAGTTAATCTTGGGGTCTACCCAGTGCTCACTGTCTCTCCTTGGCTATAAGAGCAGTCAGTTCTTCCCCAAAGAGAAAGGGCACATCTGGATAAGGTAGGTGTCGCATTATATGTTTCATCAGTCAACGTTGCCTTTCATGTGAACCTTCGTGCTTGCCTGTACTGTAACCAAGGTTTATTTCGTCTTGCCTCTGCCATTATAATGACATCCCTTTGCTTGCTGCATTTTAGCTGGCCGTCATGCACTCTAGGTCAGTTACTAACCCTTAAAATTATGAGTGCGTGTTTAAAAGTGAAGGGAGAGAAAACTAAAATCCGTAACTCACTTTTTTCCCCGTGCCGTTGTAACTTTGAATGGTCACTAAATTGTAAATTGAGGGTTACCTGTAGTTATACATCTGTACAGGCCTCTATGTTTTCTTTAAGCAATGGGGACATAGCTTGCTCTCCTCCTCTGCCCATCGCAACTGATTGTTCTGTCCCAGCCTACGTGAGTCCTTCTTATGCTCACAAGGAGAAACCTCTCTTCCAAGAAACAGGCACGAACCGCAGGAAAAAACCAATCCCCTTTTATTATTCACAGACCTGAGTCAGTGTCCAAGGCAAACAAACACAGTCCACAGAAATTCGATCCTCAACACGAACGGTTGTCTTCAGCAACCAGCACTTCCCACACCTTCCCTTTTATTATACGGCCAAGGCGTGGCTTCCTAATGCCTTCTCCTTTGCCTTTGGAGCATTGCATTCCTCTGTCCTACTCGCTTCTCTTGCCTGCACATTCGTGCATCCGGGATTTGTCCCAGCTGTTCTTCATCACTGTCCAACTCAGGCTCCCAGCACAGCTGTGTCTCAGCTTGAGTGCGAGTAGAGGGGCCAGGCTCCTCCTCTGACTGTAAGTCTTGGAGCTCCTCAGAGCCTTCCTCTGACTCTGATGTCACTCCAGGCCCCTCCTCCTCCTCTTCTGATTCCTCAGACCCAGCTGCCGGATCCCCTGGCTGGTGAGGACTCACAACACTGATCCTCACAATTTCTTGATGCCCTAATTTTTATAATCAGGTGACCTCAATTAAGTGTGGCCCCATAGAGATCTTATATATTACACACAGACCGTTCAGGAGGCAGATCTATTTGAGCCTCTCCTTTTGGTATCCTTTCAAGACTTTTGTTCCTTTGGAACGCTGAAATTCATTTATCCTTAACGATCAGATTATCTAATGGTTTCTTAGAGAGCCCTGGATTGTGTGTAGATCTGTTGCATGGTGTCTCAGTGGAAATGGGGTAGAAGGAAACCAGCCTAGCTAGAGAAAATACACTATTTTCCCACATCTCTTTTGATGCGCCGTCTTGCAGTGTCTTCAATTTCATTCCCGTAATTGTATGTTGTCGCTTTTCCTTTAAAGAACCTATTTATGTATTTTAAACAGAAAGAGAGTTTGACCCAAATAAGCACTGTGGAGTCTTGGATCCTGAAACAAAGAAACCGTGCACGAGGTCACTCACCTGCAAGGTAAACTTTCTTCCTAGTTCAAATATAATATAATTCCTGTGATGGTTGTTTCAGACGTGTTTTCTGAAGGCTATAGTTGTTATTCTGTTGGAATATCTTTAGGTCACTGGGGCAAAATTAAGATGTCTGGGTTTCAAATCCCAGAATTCTAGTACAGGGCTCCCTCGGCACTCATCGTTAATTGTTCTGGGAGATGTGATGAATACCAAACAATTTTTTTCCCATAAGAAATAACATTGAAATAGCACTTAGTCTTATATGCCGCTTCACAGTGCTTTACAAAGCCCTCTCTGAGCAGTTTACAGAGTCAGCATCTTGCCCCCCAACAATCTGGATCCTCATTTGACCGACCTCGGAAGGAGGGAAGGCTGAGTCAACCTTGAGTCCTATCGAACTTCAGGCTGTGGGCAGAGTCAGCGTGCAATACTGCATTTTAACCACTGCGCCACCACGGCGTAGATAGCAGTAGCACTTAGGCTTATATACCGCTTCACAGGGCTTTACAGTACTCTCTGAGAGGTTTACAGAGTCAGCCTCTTGCCCCTCAACAATCTGGGTCTTCGTTTTACCAACTTCGGAAGGATGGAAGGCTGAGTCAACCTTGAGCCGGTCAGGATCGAACTCCAAGTGGTGGGCAGAGTTTGCCTGCAATTCTGCATTCTAACCATTGCACCACCAGGAAGGAGGATGAGGGAAGGGAATTATTGTGCTGAGGTAACCCGGGAGTAAATGCACTACACAGTGCTTTATATTAAATGGTGGTTTATATTACACTATCCGCAATATACACTAGAAACAAGATACATACACGTGGTGAAACAGCGAACTCCAATACACAGCAGTTACAGCAGTCGAACAGACGAGAGAGAAAAACGCCAGCAAAAAGCCTTCCCTTTTATACTCAGACTCTTAAAGGGATACACACACCCGTTGAGTCATTCCTATTATTGCATCATCCACCTTACATTACATTACATCATTACATAAGCTGTTTAGCCATTAAATTATTATCCTGACCTACTTAATGTAAAGAGTGAATGAGAAAAAGAGAAACTTTGAATTTCTGTAAGAATCGAACCTCTTCGAATTTTAAAAAGAAACTTCCAATAACGAGAACTTTGAATTCCTCACCCAAATTATTTTAACCCCATCATTATTATTGTGGATCATCGCACCGTCAGCCAGATGTTCAGACTGGATTTGGCATTTTGTCTACCTATCGAGTCCTTACCCAGGACCTGGGATAGGCTACAGGTATCGTCGCAGGATGGAAGCAGTTCCTAGTAACAATTGACTAATAGCGAATTTGTCAATGCCAATGGTGTTCAAGTTGTTTTGGGATTGCACCCAGCCTCACCCTAATTATTTTAACCCCATCATTATTATGTGGATGTTTGATGGTGTTACAGGTATCGTCGCAGGATGGAAGCAGTTCCTAGTAAGGCTGCCTTTTGCAATTGACCAATAGCGAATTTGTCAATGCCAATGGTGTTCAAGTTGTTTTGGGATTGCACCCAAGGAGCCTCACCCTAATTATTTTAACCCCATCATTATTATTGTGGATCATCGCACAGTCGGCCAGATGTTCAGACTGGATTTGGCATTTTGTCTACCTATCGAGTCCTTACCCAGGACCTGGGATAGGCAGATGTGGATGTTTGATGGTGTTACAGGTATCGTCGCAGGATGGAAGCAGTTCCTAGTAAGGCCGCCTTTTGCAATTGACTAATAGCGAATTTGTCAATGCCGATGGTGTTCAAGTTGTTTTGGGATTGCACCCAAGGAGCCTCACCCTAATTATTTTAACCCCATCATTATTATTGTGGATCATTCAGCCAGATGTTCAGACTGGATTTGGCATTTTGTCTACCCTTGACTTACAACGGCTTGTTAAGGGAAACGCATAGTCAGGACCCGATGCTCTCACAGGAACCTCCGTGAACTCTGGGCAAGAACTTGACTATCACCTGCCAAATCTAGACAGTCTAACTCAGTATTTCCCAGGTGAGCAAACCTGGCTTTAAGCCAAGTCCTTTGCACAGGTAGTCCTTGACTTACAAAGTGGCTGTTCAAAGTTACAACGGCACCGAAAAAAAGCGATTACTTTTCACAGTTACAGCCTTTGTAGCCTCCCCATGATTGCGTGATTAAAATTCAGACAATTGGTGAACGCGATTCAGCGACTCGTATTTACGACGGTCGCCGTGCCCTTGGATCCCCTTTGGCGACTTTCTGGCAAGCCAACTCAATGGGGAAGCCGGATTCTCTTAGCAACCTATTAGTAACTTAACAACTGCAGGGTCGTAAAACGGGGCTAGGTTCACTTAAAAGCTCTCAAGTAGCGACAGAAGTGTTGGGCTCGCTCGTGGTCCTAAGTCAAGGATTACGTGTTTCTGAAACCAGAACTCCACAGTTGAGTTCCCAAACGTTTAAAAAGGTTTTTTTATTGATTTTCTAGTTTTACATTTAAATATTTAAAAAGCAACGTGGCGGCTGAGTTAATCGATAGTTCAACAACGTGCAAAGATTCTTTAGTACAAGTTTCAGACGACTACATTAAATATCTCCTCTCTTTTCCCCTTAGTGTTTACTGTCTTATGTTTAAACTAATACAGTTATTATTATATCAGTTAAATAAAAATAACTTTCTTGCATTTATCAATAATGTTTAGTTCAGTGGTTCTCAACCTTTCTAATGCCGCGACCCCATAATACAGTCACCCATGTTGTGGTGACCCCTAACCACTTATACATTACCGGGTGCCAGGGGTGTGGCCAAAGAAAGGGGGGGGGGAAATGGCGGACAGCCTTGTTTGGCGACCTCCGTGAAATGGTTGTTCGACCCCAAATGGGGTCCCGACCCACAGGTTGAGAACCACTGGTTTTAGTTTATACATATCCTGGTTATTTTAACGTTCAATCTTTATAGACTTATCAATGTCCGAATTCATTTTTCCCAATTTTTAGTTTCCCACTAATATTTAAATTTGACGTTTAATATTTATAAGTTCCAAGCTTTAAACAACCACCGTTCCCTTTGTCCCCATTCATCACAAAACCTAATGTTCAGAGTTCCCAAACGTTTAAACTAGAGTTCCATAGTAAATCAACTAAAATTGGACTTAAATGGATAACAGAACCATAGAACACAGCTAAATTTTACTACCTGTTTCAGCTTTTATAGGAAATCTTTTAACTCAAGTTTTTCTGACTTCAACCCCCGTATGTACAATTAAATTCTTGGGATATTTTTCCAGAGGCTAGTCTCACTGAATCCCAAGGAACTGACTGCTACTTCTTAAGCTAACACTCTTGGTAGAGTTTTTTTTTCCCCTGGGAATAACCTGTAGAACAGTGGTTCTCAACCTTTTTAATGCCGCGACCCCCCAACCGGTCGTAAGTCAAGGACTACTCAACTGGTCGTAAGTCGAGAACTACTCAACTGGTGCAGCACCGTTTGCAGAATGGGACTTTTGGCGGGCTCAGCAGGGCAGAGACAGCCTGGACAATTCCTATTGGCTTTTGAAAGCCAATAGAATTAGACCAGTGGTTCTCAACCTTTCTAATGCCACGACCCCATAATACAGTTCCCCATGTTGTGGTGACCCCCAACCACTTATACATCACCGGGTGCCAGGGGTGTGGCCAAAGAAAAGGGGAAAAAAATGGCGGACAGCCTTGTTTGGCGACCCCCGTGAAATGGTCGTTCGACCCCAAATGGGGTCCCGACCCACAGGTTGAGAACCACTGAATTAGACTCTATTCAAGAGAGTCTATTCTATTGGCTTTCCAAAGCCAATAGAATAAAAGGGAGTAGCACAGCTAAGGAAAAGGGAGGAAAAAAATGGCGGATTGCGTTGTTTGGCAACCCCCGTGAAATGGTCGTTCGACCCCAAGTGGGGTCCCGACCCACAGGTTGAGAACCGCTGCTGTAGAACTTTCAGCGCTGAACTGATTGTGGTCCTGTGACTTATCTATTTATTTTTTAATTTTTTTGTATCACACTTATCTAGCCGCCCAGCTCACGGACATGATGTTTTAACCTCTCCTAGATCCTCCCCTTCAAATAGCATAAACAGCGGCACCTCTTCAAACCACACGAGCGGGAACGTAGCAGAATTGCCCCTTCCGGCGATGGGAGGAGAATTGCTCTGCAGATTATCCAGCGACGAAGGAGAGCTAGAAGGATCCGAAGAAGCAGAAAAATTAGACTGCTCCTATTCGGAGCACCATCCTCAGCCACTTGGGGTACTTGTTGGCGGCATTTCTGGCGGGCTGAATGTTTATAAGTCGCGTTGGCGCAAAGGAGCAGATTTTTCAATTTGGACAGAAACATGTGAGCGAGAAGGTCTATCAGGCGCAAAAGACGAAGTCTACATCGGACGCTCCAACTAAACTGATTTAGCGCTAAAAGCCTATGCACAGGAGTCTTCTTAAACTAACCGCAACGGCATTCAGGGGAGGTTGAACTTATAGTAGTGGCCAAAATTGTGGAAACCTTTTGGGAAAAGTCTATTTTTGAGGTTGGATGGCTAATAACACCACTTTTGTTTTGGAGTAGTACCATAAAATTATATATCAATGGAAAGATCGTTTAATCAAGAATGTAATGCAACCACTTTTGTTCAATTATTTGTACTGTATTCTATGAAATGTTATAGCCAAATAACCAGAAAAGGGAAGCACAACTTGCTTAGGTTGATATCAGGTAGCTTTCCTTCATCTGATTGTAGCCAATGAGCGCGAGTGTTTAGAGAGCCAATCGGGTGTCCTCTTGTTTTGGCCATGAGCCAATCGGATCACAGTAGGATCCGGTTATTGATGTCATGCATTGAAGCCGAGAGGAGGACATTTGTCAGTGTGTTGTGTGATCGCTATCAAGTTGGTTGGGGTTTTTTGTGTTCTTTCATTTAGTGAGCTTGTAATATGTAATAAAATTAAAGGAATGGTGCAGAGAGTTGACTGGTTGCCCAGAAAGCGATGTAAAATAGTATTATTAAGTGAACAAGGCTACAGTTATAAATAAACGAGAAGAAAAAATGGTGGAAATTTAACCAAAGGTGGCATTTCTACTGTACGCGTTTCCCAAAAGGTTTCCACCATTTTGGCCACTACTGTAGTTTGCTTGTGGCTACGCAGGGATTCTACGCTGATGCCTCTTTTCACTCTGCCCCACGTTCTGCCACTCCTTCTCCCATACTTTCCAAATCCTGTTAAAGAGGGGGAACCATGCCATTCTTTCCTACAAGAATGTTACTAGCAAGGCCACCGTTTAACCAACCCTTAGAATGCACAGATGGATTAATGTGGTGATTAAAAGAGTCTGTTTTGTTTCCTCCCCTTCCTTTCCTAGTTCTGTTCCTTTGGAAGTCACTTGATGGGAAGAGGATACTACGTATTTGACAGGAGATGGGATCATTTTCGGCTAGCGCTAAATTCTATGGTAGAAAAACACTTAAACTCACAAATGTGGAAGTAAGTATATCTGTGTTGTCTGGATGGTTTTTTTTTTTAATTTTATTTTAAGGCTTATCGTTATTTATTTGTCAAATTTATTTGCTGTCCATCTCGCAATTTAAATGACTCTGAGTGACAGAGAAAATACTAACTTAAACTTAACAGTATTCTGTGAAGGGAAAAAATAGTGTGCATAAATAATGTGTAATTCTAATGCCAAAGCAAGGACAATAGTAACATTGGTGAATAGGAATAATTTTAGTAACCACAAAGTAATAAAATATTAGCTACATTTTGAGGAAAGCTTGCTTGCTTGTCTGTCTGTCTATCTGTATCTCCGTCCATCCACCCTCCTACCTACCTATCTCTGTCTGTCTGTCTGTCTATTATCCCTATCCATCCACATCCATATCTATGTATCTATCTGTCTGCCTGCCTGCCTACCTACCTCTGTCTGTCTATTATCCCTATCCATCCACATCCATATCTGCCTGCCTGCCTGCCTGCCTGTCTACCTTCCTACCTACCTACCTTCCTACCTACTTACCTATTTATATATCTGCCTGCCTGCCTAGCTACCTACTTACCAACCTACCTGTTTATATCTATCTATCTATCCCTATCCATCCACATCCATATCTATGTATCTATCTGCCTGCCTGCCTACCAACCTACCTCTGTCTGTCTATCTATTATCCCTATCCACTCACATCCATATTTGTCTGCCTGCCTGCCTACCTGCCTGTCTACCTTCCTACTTACCTATCTTCCTATTTTATTTATTTATTTATTTATGAGACTTATATACCGCTTTAAGTGCAAGCACTCTCTAAGCGGTGTACACCAGTAAGCAATGTATATATATATTTTACATTGCCCCCAACAATCTGGGTCCTCATTTTACCTACCTCGGAAGGATGGAAGGCTGAGTCAACCTTGAGCCGGTGAGATTTGAACCGCTGACCTGCTGCACACAGTCAGCTAAAGTGGCCTGCAGTACTGCACTCTAACTGCTGCGCCACCTCGGCTCTTTTACTACCTACCTACTTACCTATTTATATATCTGCCTGCCTAGCTACCTACTTACCTACCTATCTGCCTCTATCTATCTATCTATCTATCTATCTATCTATCTATCTATCTATCTATCTATCTATCTATCTATCTATCTATCCCTATCCATCCACATCCATATCTGTGTATCTATCTGCCTGCTTGCCTACCAACCTACCTCTGTCTGTCTTATCTATTATCCCTATCCATCCACATCCATATCTATCTGCCTGCCTGCCTGCCTGTCTGTATACCTATCTGTCTATCTGTCTATCTATCCCTATCCATCCACATCCATCCATCCATATCTATCTGTCTGTCTGCCTTATCTATCTCTATCCCTATGTCTTAATCCTTGTAGGAAAGCTCTTTCTGCTTCGTTAGCGAAGGATGCTGGGTAGGACTGATGGAAAATGCCTCTATCCCAAACGTGTGTTTCTCTCCTTCCATACTTTAGGAAAATCCCTCCCGCCGTGGATAGTCCCATGCCGTCCCCAGCAGCACACCTCAGCAGCCCCTTCCCGGCCTCCGTTCTTCAACCTTTCAGTAATCCCACCTCGGCGTACATTCCCTCTGCGCCCGTCAGCTCCAGAATCCCTCCTTCTTACGTCATGACGTCCGCCATGCTCTCCAGCGCCCCTTTCGGGACGATGTCAGACACCAGTTCCGTCACGTCCCACGCCACCGCCTTCCCGCACGTGGCCGCAAGCTTGAGCATCGTAGACTCCACCTTCAAGATGCCGTCTGCCCTGTCGCCTCTGCCGGCCGTCATCCCTTCCCCGTCTCACAAGCCGTCCAAAACGAAAACCAGCAAGTCCTCCAAAGTCAGAGACATCTTGTGCCGCGGTGGCGACGAGTCTTCTAGTAACAGAAAGAAAAAGCTGCCATCTTCTTCTTCCTCCTCCTCTTCCTCCTCCTCCTCATTACCTTTCCAGACTTCTTCCTCGTCTTCGGTTTCAGGGGCGCACAGGAAGAACTGCGTCTTGAACCCCAGTCCCACCCTCAATCATTACCAGGCCGCTTCTTCCTACAACAGCCTCTCCGTGCACAGCGCAAACAACGGAACAAGTTCCTTCAGTGCCAAATCCGAGCCCTCAGGACGGACTTCGCTCTCGAGTAGCGCGGCGGACTCGGTGAAACACATGAGCATCGTCGTGAGCAGTATTGACCCTTCCGGTTTGTCGGTCCCTTCCCTGGTGCATCCTTTGTCGGACCATTCCTTCGCCCCGCACAACGCCGTCTCTTCGCTGCCCCTTTGTTTTGACAAATCGGAAGGGAAAAAGCGCAAGAACTCGAGCGCCAGCAGCAAAGCCTGTAAAATTACTAAAATGCCTGGAATGAATAGTGTTCATAAAAAGAACACGCCCAATCTCATTTCTCCTGTGCCAGATACGCCAAACAACGCCATCTCTCGGACGGTAAGTGGAATAGAACAGTAGAGTGGAATGAAATGGAATGGAATACATATTGGAATATAGAATAGAATAGAACAGAACAGAATAGAATAGATATTGGAATATAGAATACAATAGAATAGAATAGAATAGAATAGAATAGAATAGAATAGAATAGAATAGAATAGAATAGAATAGAATAGAATAGAATAGAATAGAATAGAATAGAATAGATATTGAATAGAATAGAATAGAATAGAATTAGAATAGAATAGAATAGAATAATAGAATAGAATAGAATAGAATAGAATAGAATAGAATAGAATAGAATAGATATTGGAATATAGAATAGAGTAGAGTAGAATAGAATAGAATAGATATTGGAATATAGAATAGAATAGAATAGGATAGAGAATAGAATAGAATAGAATAGAATAGAATAGAATAGAATAGATATTGGAATATAGAATAGAGTAGAGTAGAATAGAATAAAATAGAATAGAATAGAATAGAATAGAATAGATATTGGAATATAGAATAGAATAGAGTAGAACAGAATAGAACAGAATAGAATAGATATTGGAATATAGAATAAATTAGAATAGAATAGAACAGAACAGAATAGAATAGATATTGGAATATAGAATAGAATTAGAATAGAATAGAATAGAATAGAATAGAATAGAATAGAATAGAATAGAATAGAATAGAATAGATATTGGAATATAGAATAGAGTAGAATAGGATAGAGAATAGAATAGAATAGATATTGGAATATAGAATAGAGTAGAGTAGAATAGAATAGAGTAGAATAGAATAGAATAGAATAGATATTGGAATATAGAGTAGAGTAGAATAGAATAGAATAGATATTGGAATATAGAGTAGAGTAGAATAGAATAGAATAGAATAGATATTGGAATATAGAATAGAATAGGATAGAATAGATATTGGAATATAGAATAGAATAGAATAGAATAGATATTGGAATATAGAATAGAGTAGAGTAGAATAGAATAGAATAGAATAGAATAGAATAGATATTGGAATATAGAATAGAATAGAATAGGATAGAGAATAGGATAGGATAGAATAGAAAAATTGGAAGGGACCTTGAAGGTCTTCTAGTCCAGCCCCTTGCTCAAACAGGAGAACCTATACCATCTCAGACAGGTGATTGTCTAGTCTCTTCTTAAAAATCTCCAGTGATGAAGCACCCACGATTTCTGGAGGCAAAGCTGTTCTACTGGTTGATTGTCCTCTCTGTCAGGAAGTTTCTCCTTAATTCCAGGTTGCTTCTCTTTGGTCAGTTTCCAACCATTGTGTCTCGTCCTTCCCTCTGGTGCTTTGGAGAATAGCTTGACTCCCTCTTCTTTGTGGCAACCCCTGAGATACTGGAATGCTGCTATCATGTCACCCCCGTTTCATCTTTTCTTTAGACCAGCCAAACCCAGGTCCCGCAGCCGTTCTTCGTATGTTTTGGTCTCCAGGCCTTGGATCATCTTAGTTGCTCTTCTCTGAATTTTTTTCCAAACTCTCAACCTCTTTTTTGTGATATGGTGACCAAAATTGGCTGCAGTATTCCAGGTGTGGTCTCACTAGGGTTTTATAAAGCGGTACTAATACTTTGCATGATCTTAGAAGTCAGTCAGTCTTCGGGGTTTGAACTCCAACGAGATCTTTTTAAGGTTTCCAGAGATTCCAGGAAAACTCAGCACTATCCGTTTTAGGACTGAAACATCCTATGACAGAATTTTTATTTTTATTTTTTTTGTATCTTGGAATAGATGACTGGAAATAAGCCACCCTTTAATATTTTTAAGAATAATTGTTTTTTTTTTTTAAAAAAGAAACACCCGAAAACTCCATTCCAATGAAATGCAGAAACTAGTGGAAATAAAGGCCTGTTTTTGTTTGTTTATCGCTTTGCAGATTGGAAAAAACAGTGGTATAGCTCTGTCCCAGTCCAGTCCTTCAAGTACATCAAATCTAATGCACAACAAACAAGTGAGTTTGTGTTGTTGTTTTTTTTTTAAATTATATTTAAGTCATAATGTGCATCGCTTAATTGCTGTATTATGGTTAACAAACGTGGTTTATCTTAGCAAGTCCATGACTTTTATTATGTTTATTTATTTAAAAGATTTGTACAGCTGTCCGCCTTTAAACACAGCTCCGGGCCGCTGGCTATAAAAACCATAAAAACAGAAACTGAAAAACTTTTAACTGAACATTATTATTCAGGATGCTGCTTTAAATCTTTAAGCTTTAAAGCAGGCTCCATTACGGTCATAACCCGAGGACTATCTGTGTAATAATGTCCTTTTCCAAACAAACTCACATCCTTACCCATTTGTACAAAGTCCTAGATCAGGGGTAGGCAACCTTGACTCTTTTATGACTTGTGGATTTCAACTCCCAGAATTCCTCAGCCAGCCTGGCTCAGCTTGGAAACCTCTCCCTTTCCCCTCAGCGTGGCTGGCTCAGGAATTCTGGGAGTTGAAGTCCACGAGTCATAAGAGAGCCAAGGTTCCCCACCCCTGCCCTATATCGGGGGTCCTCAACCTTGGCAACTTTAAGACTCGTGGACTTCAACTCCCAGAATTCCTGAGCCAGCATGGCTCAGCATGGAAACCTCTCCCTTTCCCCTCAGCGTGGCTGGCTCAGGAATTCTGGGAGTTGAAGTCCACGAGTCATAAAAGGGCCAAGGTTGCCCACCCCTGTCCTAGATGTATATTTAACCATGCATTTTTGGAAAGATGAGGCTTATGTACTTTTCCCCCCAGCTTTTGGACTAAAACATTTAGTGTAACCATTAAGTATTCTTTAAAGACTTAAGTCATTTTAGGGAACAATTATAAAACGCTGGTTCTGTGACAAAGATACACATTCCCAGCAATTGTTAGAAGCCTTGAATAATTGCCATCCACCCAACCTTCACTTTATCTAGAATTTGCTGCATAATCTGCCTTGGCACACCTGTGAGCAACCTGTAATGAGCCACAATGGCAAAGAAATGTCCCTTCCAAGTTTATGAATCCTTGGCTGGTTCTTTTTCTGAATGCCTTGAAATTAAAAAAGGATGGGAAGAGCAATTATATCCGATTACTATGTGCAGCGCTGGTTAATTGTTCTAACTTTCAGGATATTTCTCCTTAGTTCTAGGTTGCTTTGGTTAGTTTCCATCCGTTGCTTCTTCTCCTGCCTTTAAGTGCTTTGGAGAACAGCTTGACTCCTTCTTTTTTGGGGCAGCCCCTGAGATATTGGAACACTGCTATCATGTCCCCCCTGGTCCTTCTCTTCGTTAAACTAGACATGCCCAATTCCAACATCCGTTCCTTGTATGCTTTAGCCTCCAGTCCCCTGATCCTCTTTGTTGCTGTTCTCTGCACTCTTTCCAGAATCTCAACCTCTTTTTTACACCGTGGCGACCAAAACTGGATGCCGTATTCCAAGTGTGGCCTTACCAAGGTGTTGTAAAGTGGTATTAACAACACTTCACGTGATCTTGATTCTATCCCTCTGTTCATGCAGCCTAGCACTGTGTTGGCTTTTTTTGGTTTCCTAAAGAAAAGCAGAACTGAGATGTGCTAAAAGCATACAGACACTCCTTGTCTTAGGTCCCCAACTGAGCCCCAAATTTTTGTCGCTAAAGGAAACATTTCTTAAATGAGCTTTGCCTCGTTTTACGACCTTTATAGCCACAGTTGCAAAGTGATTCGCTGCAGTTGGTTAAGTCAGCAACACGATTGTTAAGTGAAACTGACTTCCCCCCATCGGCTCTGCTTCTCAGAACGTTGCAAAGGAAGATCACGTGACTCCCCGGGACGCTGTGACCGTCCTATATATGAGTCAGTTGCCAAGTGTTTTAATTTTGATCACATGTTCATGGAGATGCCACAATGTTCATAAGGGTGAAAAACAGTAATAAGTCAGTTATTTCAGTACCCTTGTAACTTTGAACGAAGGACTAGCTATATCTTTAGACTGCTGGTTTTTGTGTGCTTTTTAAAATATATATATATATATATATTTGTCATAATTTTCCCTTTTGTCATTTAAGACAAACTGTTCATTTTCTCTTTCAGAAAACATTAAATCGGCCTGGTCGGATAAGGACTCTTCCATGATAAGGAGAACAAACCATCTCTATATTTTTGCAGCCCTTCTCCAAGCCAGCTTATTGGCTTTCTTGTGTCCTGCTGATTTTTTTTGTACTTTTGTATTAAAATCTTTCCTTTTTTTTTTCCTCCATAAAATTGTAGTCATGGCTTACTTTCATTTCTTACATGTGTTGGCCTGTGATCTGTGCAATCGGGCTTGATTTTAATTAATGCCTTTAGAAGGAAATTGTTGCGTTTTCTCTATCTCTTTCTCTCTCTCTCTTTTTTTTTTTTTTAGTTTCTCGCCACAACGGGAGCAGTGGACATTTCGAAATAATACCACGTGTGATAAAAAGGCTAGATTGAGCAAAGCTATTATTTCAAATTTGCAGTAACTTCTGTATTAATTATTGTCCTCAGGATGAATAGACAGTGTCCATCAATTTTGCTGACTTATGCATCCAGTGTCAGTGTTCTAGATCCTTTCAACACACTGAAGGGTTAATGCAGCTGGCTATTATTGCCAATATTAATAGGAATATTGTGTGACCATTTCCTCATACCTAGGTGAAGGGGCCAAGAAAAGGATTGCCGTCCTTCGCAAAAACAGAAATCAGACATACTGAATTTGCATCAGTTAAATTGCACTGACAATGTTTTTACAGGAATTACTGATTTTTTTAAAACAAAAGTAGATCTTTTGTAATCAGGAAACCAATTCTACTAAGGTACTACAAAATTACTACGAAGGAATTAACTTTTATTTCTACAGAATTAAAAGTGCACTTATACGCAGGTTTATTGACATCTTGGGGAGAAATGAAAATGAATGCAAATAGTTTATTAGCTTCTTCCCTTTTCACGTAAAGGCTTAGGGCAGATTTTAAAACATAGAAAATGTTTAACAACGGTAAACAAGGCTAGGCCTCTTGGGAGAAATTAGACAATATTCTCAAAAATAATTTTTATAATGTTATTGTAATTTATGTTTTCTTATACTTGGAAAGTGACAAGAGAAGTTTCATGAGCGATGTGAAACTTAAGAAAATATGGTTGTATTTTTCATGTATTTTGAGTTGCGTTTTACTGTACATTCTTCAGATTGAAAAACAAAATGTACATATCTTTATTTTTGCACAATTTTTTTGTCTTTGGTTGTAGGAACAGAGCCTTGTTTTTTTAAAAACTAATTTATTTTGTGTTGTATAGCTGCAGGAGTTATCAAATTTCAGTAGCAGAACAACGCTCCAATTATTGAACTGCTGTTCTATATTTTTGAGGGGAAAAAAAAAGTACGACGATTATGAATTTGGCTGCTGAAGGAACAATTTAATAATGTCAAGACTTCCTTAGCTTAACATGCATCTATTATGTAGAAAGCTGGATTTTTGGGGGTGCTTTGGCATAACCCGTATTTAACTTTTCATTTCCTGTGACGTAGATCTCACAGCGTTTTGGAAAGCTAAGTATTAAATACAGCCCTCCATATTTTGTCCCATCACATTTTTTTTAAAAAAGGTCATTTAATTTATATATACTAAAATGGTATATATAGTGCGGTTTTAAAAATGGAAGTGGACTAGACCAGCCTGTATTGTAGTGTAGCATTTGTTAAACAGTTGGGCTTCCCCCCCCCCTTTCCAACCATTTTCCCTTCTAAACACCCAACTTTTCAGAAGATGTGATTTCCAGCAATAGAGGCACAGAAGCTTTGGTCGTTAACACACAACGCAATGCATAGGCCCGTCAGCCATATTTAAAAATAAAAAATAAAAAAGCAACTCGGATAACTTGGATATGCCTTCTTTTGTATCGATGTTAACAATTGTATATAGTGCCGATCAACCTTTGTAGAGAATAGTTTATACAGCATATTCTATTATTGCCGATTCTCAGTGAACTCTTGTTTAAAAAAAGAAGAAGAAAAGGATTTTTTCTATCTACACCTTCTATTTTGTTACGCTGTTTTACCCATGGCACTTTAAACAAAACTTTGGGTTTTACATAGCTGGTCGGTCATGGGAAATAAAATAAAATAAATAAATAAATAAATAAAATTCTGTTGCACAGAAGTGAAATTTGCACCTCCTCAATTATGCTTTCCTACTACAGATTTTAGAATCCTTTTCGGGAAGACTTTTGAAAATAGCACGTCCAATCATTCTTAAAAAAAAAAATTGCCATATGTGTAGAGTCCATTTCTTTTCTACGGACCCATATTTTGTAACACTATTTTCCTCCTCCTGCACCTTTTATGATGTATTTAGCAGTATCTGAGAAATCCCATTCCATGCTTGTGATAATTGTAAGTGTCGAAAGTGGATGTAAATAGTAAAATTTATGACTTACAGTTTTGAGAAAAGGGAAAATAAAGAACAAAATGTGTATCTTGACTGATACTGCCATGGTTTAAGCACCCAGGCCTGGAGATATTCTCCAGTGGGCGATTGTATTTCTTTTGTTACTTGTTGGTTTTGCTTTATTATTATTATTGTTATTATTATTATTATTTGTAACATGGCTTTGTAAATAAAATAATTTATATGTTTCTAAGAAAAAAACACACGCAACGCTTTATTGCTTTGTAAAAAGAAAACGCTCCAGGATTATCTGGGAAAAATTACAAGCCTTGACACGACTGGGTGAAAGGTTTTGTTAGGATCTTTCCTGAAAGAGAAATCCACTTCCCAAAATAAGGAAATATACTTAGTATTTCTGCTGGTCAATATGAAGTGTCATCCCTGGGTGGTGACTCCATCGTTACCATCCAAGTACAAAAAGCCTCAAACGACCAAGTACAAAAGCCCCAGTGAAAAGGATGGAACTGCTCAATCTGTGTCTCACACCACAATCTTGCCGACAACTCTTAGGAAAGGAAGGCCTTTGGTCTTCAAAAAAGATGGACAGGAGGGTTGTCCGGTCATTTGACCGCCAGGTGTCAATCATAGATCAGACAGATTTCACTACTAGGGTGACTGACCAAGGCCCTGTCAAAAAACCAGAACTTGTTAAATCAACACGAGCTGAGATAACTGGCAAGCATTGTGCATTATGTGTATTGTGTTTCATAAGGATATTTTAACTAAGTCATAATGACTGGAGTCACCACCCTACCATACCACACTACAAGTAGTCCCCAATTTACAATAATTTGTTGTGATCAATTGTTCGTTTACAACGGCACTGAAAAAAAGTGACTTAAGACTGCTTTCTACACTTTATGACCATTGCAGCATTTTCACGGTCACATGATCAAAATTTGGTTATGTGACCTCTGGTCATAAACTATTTTTTTTCAAGGCCGTGGTAAATTCAAATGGTGACTAAACAAATGGTTATACCTGGAGGACTGTCTGCAGCTGTGAGTTTTGTACACTGCTCAGTCACTTTTAAGAAGAAATTGGACAATCATTTGTCTGAAATGGTATAGGTTTCCTGCCTAAGTGGGGGGGGGGTTGGACTGGAAGACCTCCAAGGTCCCTTCCAACTGTTATTCTATTCTTATTCTAATTCTTATTCCATTTCTATTCCTATTCCCATTCCATTCTATATTCTATTCTATGCTATGCTATTCCCATTCTATACTATTCCATTCCTTATTCTATTCCTTTTCCCATTCCATTCTATATTCTGTTCTATGCTATGGTATGCTATTCTCATTCTATATTCTATTCTATTTCTATTCCCATTCGATTCTCTATTCTATTCCATTCCTTATTATATTCTATTCCCATTCCATTCTATATTCTATGCTATGGTATGCTATTCCCATTCTATATTCTATTCTATTCCCATTCCCATTCCATTCTCTATTCTATTCCTTATTATATTCTATTCCCATTCCATTCTATATTCTATTTTCTCCATTTCATATTCTATTCTATTCATTATTCTATTCTATTCCACTCCATATAAAGATTCCTATTCTATTCCATTCCATTCCATTCCCTATTCTATTCTATCCTAATCAGACTGGATTTGGCACTTCTGTCCTCCGATCGAGTCCTTACCCAGGACCTGGGATAGGCAATGTGGATGTTTGATGGTATTACAGGTATCGTCGCAGGATGGAAGCAGTTCCTAGTAAGGCCGCCTTTTGCAATTGACTAATGGCGAATTTGTCAATGCCGATGGTGTTCAAGTGGTGCTCCAAGTCACCTAGTACTATTGGTACCGCCTATTGGTTGTTGTTGTTGTTATTATTAATCAATAACACCAGTTCTCATGCAGCATCCGTGTCAGCTGGCGTTTAAAAGCCGTTCACACGTTCCTTCTTGGCCAAGAGAAGACAGATCGCCCAATGCACAAAAGCGCTTTTATTGTGCGCTCGGATCTTTAATAACTTCAGCATTTTTGGGGGGCAAATCTTGCAAATTTTAACATTGGCAGGTCGCCGAACGGGGCAACAACGCCTCTCGCCCGGGCCGCGCGCGCCAACTGCTTTTTAACCGGAGGCCACGCCCCTCCTGCCGCCGTCATCATTCGTCGCCGCTCCCTCACAACCCGACGCCCAGCAGCGGGCGGGCGAACTGATTGGCCGAGCGCTCCGCCTTCCCGCGTCACGTGGCCGGCGCGTTCGGTGCCGTTGCCTAGCAACGGCGATGGACCGAGAAACGGAGGGCCGGGCGTACCTGGCGCAGCACAAAATCCCCGAGCTTTTGTATAGTTTGACCTCGTTGCTGCTGTATCACCGGCCGGGTGAGAGGCTGGCACGGAGGGAAGACAAGGCGGCCTTGCCCTGCGCGGAGTTATAAAGCTGGAGAAATGGGGGTTGCTTTTTTTATTTTTTTTAAAAAAAGGAGGGTTTTCTGCATGGCTTCCTTGGCGGCACTCGTTGCCCCAGAGATGACCTGTGAGGGATTCGCACATTAGGCCAGGAGACTCCAACCTTGGCCACTTTTAAGACTTGTGGACTTCAACTCCCAGAATTCCCCAGCCAGCATGGGGAATTCTGGGATTTGAAGCCCACAAGTCTTAAAAGTGACCAAGGTTGGAGAAATTTGCCTTAGACCAAGCTGGCCTCTCTCAACTGTGTCAGTTTCTAAGATGGGTGGACTACAACTCCCAGAATTCCTGGTTGGCTGGGGAATTCTGGGAGTTGAAGTCCACATGCCTTAAAATTGTCAAGGTTGAGAAACATTGCCTTAGGCTAAGCTGGCGTATCTCAACCGTGTCAGTTTTTTAAGATGGGTGGACTACAACTCCCAGAATTCCTGGGTGGCTGGAGAATTCTGAGAGTTGAAGTCCACAAGTCTTAAAAGTGGCCAAGGTTGGAGAAATTTGCCTTAGGCCAAGCTGGCCTATCTCAACCGTGTCAGTTTTTAAGATGGGTGGACTACAACTCCCAGAATTCCTGGCTGGCTGGGGAATTCTGGGAATTGAAGCCCACAAGTCTCAGTCACCAAGTCTGGACTCCCTTGTCAACTTTTAAGATGGGTGGACTATAACACCCAGAATTCCTGGCTGGCTGGGGAATTCTGGGAGTTGAAGTCCACAAGTCTTAAAAGTGGCCAAGGTTGGAGAAATTTGCCTTAGGCTAAGCTGGCCTATCTCAACCGTGTCAACTTTTAAGATAGGTGGACTAGAACACCCAGAATTCATGCTGCCTAAGGAATTCTGGGAGTTGAAGTCCACAAAGTCTCAAAAGTCAGCAAGTTTGTGGAGTCCCCTGCGTTAGGCTAAGCTGGCGTTTTAGATCTATATTTTTAACAATACGGTTTGGCGTGGATAACGAGGTGACCAATCTTTTTGCTTTTTCAGAAAGACCGAGAAAATTTTTAATCAAGACACTGGAAAAAGTAAAGATTGCCAAAGAGTCTAGTGCTGATTATCCCAACCTTATGGACGAGTCAAACTTGGATGCGATGTTCGATATGATAGATGTTGGAGGTGAAGGCTACATAAATGTAGTACAATACAAAGGAGGTTGGTGTTTCTTCAGATCTTATGAACTTCATCTCCATCTTTTTATGTCTTCCATTGCTAACCGAAAACCTGAAAAAGAGTATCTTCAGTTTCCTAACCAATGTAATGATAATTTAAATCAGGGATAATCAACCTTGGCTCTTTTATGACTTGTGGACTTCAATTCCCAGAATTCCTGAGCCAGCTAAGCTGGCTCAGGAATTCTGGGAATTGAAGTCCACGAGTCATAAAAGAGCCAAGGTTGACTATCCGATTTAAATTCTTATTCAAAAATCCAACTGATTTGTTTGTAAATATATCAGCGGCTTGGCTAGCGAAGTGCCCTTTACACAGCATTACAATGTCTGATGTATCTTCTTCCAGGAAACAAAGAAAAGTTATCAAAAATACAGACTTCTTTCTCAGGAGATTTTTAGATTGCTACACGGGTGTGTGCTATAAAACTGCCTTAGGCTCTCACCATTTCGTGGGCAAAAAACCCAGAAATTTAGCAGAGGCAGTACAGGTAGTCCTCAGCTTATAACAATTCATTTTGTGATTGTTCAAAGTCACAACAGCACTGAAAAGAGTCACTTATGACCATTTTTCACATTTAGGACCATTGCAGCATCCCCACGGTCACGTGATTTACATTCGGATGCTTGACAGCTGACTCATATTTATGATGGTCGCAGCATCCCGGGGGCGTCATGTGACCCCCTTTTGCAACTTCTGACAAGCAAAGTCAATGGGGGAAGCTAGATTCACTTAATAACCGTGTTACTAATTCAAGAAAAGTCATTGATTCAAAAAAAGTCATTCAAGTGATTCAAGAAAAGTGATTCAAGGAAAGTCATAAAACGGGGCAAAACTCACAATAAATTTATCTCTTAGCAACATACATTTTGGGCTCAGTTGTGGTCCTAAGTTGAGGACACCCTATATAAATAGGCAGAATGACAAGATTAGTTAAGATTATTTCCTGCAGTTGATAAGGCTAAGCCAAAAAAACAAAAACAAAACAAAGGTCCTTGTGAGTAAGCTGAATTTTAAGACCAACTTAATTTTTCTTTGTTTAGATCCCAACATAATATGTATTTCTTTATGCCAGGGATGGCAAATGATATATTTTTTAAAAAAGGCCCTTTGCGGTAGCAGAAAGTTCAGGATGAGTCTATAGCAGTGGTGGCGAACCTATGGCACGGGTGCCAGAGGCGGCACTCAGAGCCCTCTCTGTGGGCACGCGCGCCGTCGCCCCAGTCCTAGGCCTTCAGCTGGGTTTTATAAAACCTTTTTGCTTTAGGCCTCCGCCGCCATGTGCAAAAAAAAAAAAAAAGTTTAATCAGTCAATTTCAACTTCTTGCGGGAAAAAAAAAAGATCTTGCATAGTTGGAATTGATTGAACTTTTTAGTCCCACCCAGTCTGCCGTTACCACCGCAGTCACACCCACCCAATGGGCCACGCCCACCCGGCCACCGACGATGCATAAGTGGGTTTTGGGTTGCAGTTTGGGCACTCGGTCTCTAAAAGGTTCACCATCACTGGTCTATAGAAATACTTGTAGTTGCTTTACATAATTATTTTACTGTTTTTAAGTCTATCTAATGAGTTTTTAACTTTCCATTTAGTAATACATATGATAGCTATATACATATATATGTATATATATTATAAAAAGCTGAATTCACATGGCAAAACATAAGCTAAATCACTACTTTTTACGTTTTTTTAATCTTTCTCCATCTGTTTGCTGTATAAATAAGCAGTGTGAATTGTGTATTTCTGTTTACAAATATTTAGATATAATAACTGTCTAATCCATGATCAGTTTCTATTGACTTCTCTATTTTATAGCTGCAAAGAATGGCCTTCTTTAAATAAAAATGGTTATTTCTATTTGATTTCCCATAAACAGATGCTGGAAAACATGCCTATATATCTAATATTTTTGTTGGGTTAATATTTCTTCCCAGCCAGGTTGGATTTAAACCCCATAGTAACCCCTCAAAATTGCTCATTTCGGCTTAGTATCTTCCATGTATTCAGCCATTCTAATTTGGAAATCAGTTTACGGCAATAGAGTGTTGTATATGAATCTAAGCAACTGTGGTATATTTAGCAAGCTGTTGCTTGCCGTGATGTGTGAATCCAGCTAGGTGATTCTTAATAGGTAGGTCATCAAACTCTGATTTTGGTGAGTCACATGATCGCAGCCATCTAAACACGAAATAAATGGTCTCAGAATGTAGGCTGTAATCAAATTTAGAGACCTTCTTTTAAAGGATATGCACGGAGGTCTATACTAGGCGTGGTATATACTGCAACAATGCATTCAGGAAAAAAAATATTCTCTCTCTTATATTTTAGCACTCGAGTCTCTGGGCTTGAATAACCAAGATGTAACTTATGACGAAAATGCAATGATTACGTCAAATGTCTTCAAAGAAAATCTGTAAGTTAAACCAAAATATTACATTTTATGTGGAATTGCAGGCATGCATATCTCTGTGTGTGTGTGTGTGTGTGTGTGTGTCTGTCTGTCTGTCTTTGGTTATTCGGGTTTTCTCCCACGTCAAATTGGAAGTGTCTTGGTGACGTTTCGACAAAGTCCCATTCATCATCTTCAGGCTGGTGTTTTTGGCTTCGTGCTTCTATTTGCTCCTAGAAGCATGAAGCTGAAAACACCAGCCTGAAGATGACGAATTGGACTTCGTCGAAACGTCGCCAAGACACTTCCAGTTTTATGCAGGAGAAAACCTGAATAACCAAAGACCTACATACAAACACCCGCGAAAACCTCAGAAAACATATATATACACCACATTTTCTTTCCTTTTTATGACCCTGTAATCCCTTAATTCATCCAACAATATATCCTGAATTGTCCCAACCATCTTTTTTGTACCCGATTCTGTCTCCAGCGCTCAGGGTGAGATGTATATGTATATGTGTCTAAAATCCACTGACCCTAGGAGATTTACCTGCTGATAAAGCTACGAATTTAGATACAGAAAGTCAAAAGTAACGAAGTATCCAATTGTTCCTCCTCTTACCTCTTCAAGCAAACTACACTATAATTACTAAAACATTATTAGTCTTTCCCTGATATTGTTTTTAAACACAAGATGGCTAAAGGGAGGTCCCTACTATTTTGGTGATGACGTTCTTGCAGTAAATGAGATTTGTAAACAAACTTTAGAAATGGGATGGACAATCCATGCTTTCCTTTGTGATTGCCCAAAATGTTCCACCTTGTGTTTTGGCATTTTAAGCACGACATCAGAGGCCCACTACTCGTGATCTTCTTGGCCTCTCCAGATTTTGTTGAAAGCTGGCTGGAAGGTTGCAAATGGTGGATCATGTGACCACAGGACACACTGCAGGTGTCATAAATGAGGGTCGCTAAACCCAATCATAATCACATGATCACAGGGCACTGTGACAGTTGGAAGTGCGGGAACCAACGGCAAGTCATTTTTAGCGCAAACGTGACTTCAAACGGTCCTTAAACAAATGGTTATTAAACGAGACCTTCCTTTAATAAACAATAAATGAATAAAAAATTATCCAAGACAAATTTTAAGTATTAACCTAAGAATACGCCTAACACACACAGGCAGAAATTGTATGTTGGTGTGCTTACACTAAATACACTGTTCATCCCATAACTAAACTGGCTGTGATGGGGAAAAATGCAATTGTTTATATATTATCTTTATATGCTATATATCTTTGTTCTCCCCCCCCCTCCTGCAGGACGAAAAAATTTGCTGAACTGTGGACAACAGTTTAATGCTGAATATTCTCACCTGGAATATTTTATATATCTATTTTTTACTTTCTGGAAAAAAAAGCTAGCAATTTCATTTATATATATATATATATATAAAACGGCCTTCACTTGTACTAATCACTGAAGCATCACTGAAGCAGGTATAAAACATCTCCCTTTTCCCATATTTGAAAAGTCTTCAAAACTGTTATCCTATTGAATTTGCTAAATAAATCCTGGGCGTGTTAGCCAACACTAAGATTTTAGCGGTCTTTTTATTTCAGGGAGATTGATTAAATGTAAAATTTTCCATGAGAAAAAAAATGACATTATGACTAGTTTACACATTGTCGGAAGATTATGAGCCCAACTTTCTCATCAAAAGGAGACTAATCACATATATTTTCTATAATTGTAGAGTACGTTTAAAGAACTGCACGCCGGCAAATTTCTGCAAAGCCTTCATCTTATCTGGATTAGAAATAATGCTAACGTTAGGAGCCAAAGGAAGTAAAACTTTTTGTCGACACACTGTTCATTCAAAAAGGCAAGAATGATTCTGCTCGTTTTAGCCCCCGTGTAATATCTTTCAGATCACAATCTTGGTAACACAAAAGGTTCTGAAGACACTCCAATCCAGCTAAGCGAGATTAATCTGAGCATCAGAGGAAGCAATAAACAGGTCTATCCCAGGAACTTTTAAAATAATCCAATGTGTTCCTCTAAGATGACTATTTCTATAATATGGAGCATATGTTAGAATCATTTCTCCATTTAAAAGAGCTTTTTCACCTGATTGCCACAGTCAACTGAGAAAATGAACGGAGAGTAACGGCTAAGATACTAACCAGACCATCAAACTATAAATGTTTCTTTGAAGCCGTGATGTATAGCGGTTTAGTTTTCAGTGGTTTTTTTAATGCATGTTTTTCTTTCCAAGGCAGTATACTTGACATCACACGAGAACATAGCGTCATTTCTAAATAACGTAACAGCGATAAGTGTCTCTCCGTTCTGTTTGCCTTGATTATTTGCCCGTATTAGGCCAATTTGTCCTCAAATTCAGGAGAATCCCAACATCCTTTGGAGCTAACTTATAAATTCCAAGTTCATTTAAAGCTGCCACAGCTGTGGGTTGATTTGAAGGAAAGCTGATTCCAGTTCTGGTTTCCGGACCCGACTGTAGCACATCCCTCAACAGCAGGGCAGAACCGATGTTTAAGTTCAGCACAATGCAGGCCTCCTTGATGCTAGACAAGAAAATAAATAAATACATCCAAGTTCTAAATCTGGGTACGTTTCAAAGAGTAACTCAACCACAGATCCCTCATCCAAGATAATTTTAAGTTTCTTTCTCCGAGAGCAGCTTTTAGTGCCAAGTGACAAAAATCTTGCGTGATTCTGAGAACTTTCAAACAATATAAGGAACGGTTGCTGGAATTGGGCACGTCTAGTCTAATGAAGAGAAGGACGAAGGGGGACATGATAGCAGCCTTCCAGTATCTCAGGGGCTGCCCCAAAGAAGAGGGAGTCAAGCTATTCTCCAAAGCGCCTGAAGGCAGGAGAAGAAGCAACGGGTGGAAACTAAGCAAGGAGAGAAGCAATCTGGAACTAAGGAGAAACTTCCTGACAGTGAGAACAATTAACCAGTGGAACCACCTGCCTCCAGAAGCGGTGAATGCTCCAACACTGGAGGTTTTTAAGAAGAGACTGGACAGTCTTCGTCCTTATACTAGGGGTCCTCAAACTCAGCCTCTTTAAGATTTGTGGACTTCAACTCCCAGAATTCCCCAGCCAGCCATGGGTGTGATCACCTCAATGTTGCTCGTGAGGAGGAACGCCTGTGGGGGCCGGACAGGGTTGGGGGAGATCCAGGGTGTGTCTGGCAGGTGGGGCAATGGGCAGGAGGCTCGTCCTGCGGGGCGAGGCGAGGCAGGTTGGGGGTGTCATTGTCACAGAGCAAGGCGAGGCAGGGGCGGTTGCTACCTGACACCATTGGCCCCTGCACACAGACGCCAGCGAGCGCATGGGTGCTGGGATGCATCCAGCCATGTGGGACTTCGGCGAGTTAATGGGCGGCTGGTTGAAGAAGGACGGTTTGCCATCTCCGGGATATGGCGCGCGTGCCCACAGAGGGGGCTCCGAGTGCCGCCTCTGGCACACGTGCCATAGGTCCGCCACTACTGCCAGAGGCAACTTAGAAATAAATAAGCATTGTGCGCCATACTCACTGTTTGAAATAATTCTCCGGCCGTTTGCAGTAATGGGAGAATAAAGGGAAAAGATTCCGAGTCATATCGAACTGGAGTTGGGCCGCTCCCCCTTCGTTGAAATGATTGGCCAGGATGACCTACAAGAGATGGTATGCGGATCAAAGGCCGGCCGCGTTTAAAAACCAGGACCGCTAAAGTCTCGGCTAAAGTCCCCGCCAGAGGCGGGCGACGCTACTTACCTCCTGGTAGATGAACAAGTCAACTTGCTCGGCGAGCATTTGCCAGAAGGTTTTGAACAAGGAGTAGCAGAGCTGCTGCTCCAACTGAAGGAGCCGGTCTCGCAAAGCCAGGAGCAAAGGGCAGGCAGTGCTGGACAAGGACATCACCGCTTGTTCGGCCTGGGAGGGCAAGGAGAGCCACCTACGCAAGAGACACGAAACCTGGCTGAAGTCAAGCCCGTAGCTCGGCTCGTTCCCCCGTCAATGAAAAAATGTCAGGCGCGAAGAATCGGGTCCACACGTGAAGCTGATTGAGGGTCTGTGCCGATAACACAAGAAATCTAGCCGGTCAGCACTAAATTGGCGCTGGGTAAACAGAATTCGAGAAGGGCTGGACTAAGACGTTTGTGGGAACGTAACGATTCCAGGCTGAATGTCTGCAAGGAAACAGCCAAGCACAGAGAGCACCAAGGATCCCACAGCCCCCCTCCATCATTCCACAAACCCTACTCCCTTCTAACACTGATGATGTTACCTAGTAGGGTAATGAAACGTCTGCAAGAGAACCACCCAGCGGAGAGCACCAAGGACCCCCACAGTCCTCCTCCTCCTCCATCACTCCCTTCCAGCACTGATGATGTTACCTAGTTGAGTCATGAGATGTCTGCAAGGAAACCACCCAGCTCAGAGAGCACCAAGGACCCCCACAGTCGTCCTCCTCCTCCTCCTCAGACAGCACCAAGGACCCTCATTTCAACCCTGAGCTACGGATATTCTCCTCTCAAGTTTTTACCTTTCCCTTTTGTAGATCTTGGCCACGTCTCTCACTTCCTTGGAGACATGGTCGACTTGCCGGCTGAGCATGTCGTGCTTCAACCGTTCAAGGAGGTTGATCATGTCATCGAACACCGAGCTTTCCAGAGAAGCCAGCTGCCCCAACTGGAGCATGCTCAGCCCGTCGCTTCCGGCGCACATTTCCAGGGCAGCCTGCTGCAGCTGTAAAAAAAACTGCGCAGACAAAACAGCATCGGGTGAAACCTCCCGGGTCTCTGGAGATTCTCAGTTGTCCAAGTCGTGGTTTGTCCCAAAGGTGCTTTTTTTTTTTTTTTTCAGGAGGCAACTGAATTTCCTTGTGTTTTTTTTTGAAGTTGTTTCGCTTCCCATCCCAGACGCTTCTCCCGTTCAGACTGGATGGTGGGGAATGGAAGGATCTGGACGACTGAGAATCTTCCAGAGACATTTAGCTGTGCCTCTGGGGATGAACAGCCTCTGAACGGTGCGGGGATAGGAATGGATTTTCGGAAAACATTGCAGACCGCAGGAACCGTTTGCGCTTCAGTTGGAGAGGCAGACCACACAGACTCATCCCCAGCAGCCTGCGCCCGTCTTCAACCGGGAAGGGACCCAGGGCAGAAAAATATCCTGCAGCCAAGAAGGCTTCACCCCCATCTGCACCACTCAGCTGACCCTGAGGACACAGGTAAGCCTCCAAGTGGCTTCACCGACGCTCTAAAAGGATGCAAACGACCAGCTGTCTGCAAGGAGGATAAATCCTTCCCTTCCCCACCATCCAGTCCGAGCTGAAGAAGCCTCTTGGATGAGAAGCGAAACCTCTTCAAAGAAAAACAAGAAAATTGAGTTATCACCACTAGTTTTGTTTTTTTTTTTTAAGGATCTTAACTTTGGGGTAAAGCATATGCTTTGGATTCAGGAGCTTAGTAAAAGGAGCTAACGCAGTGGTTCTCCACCTGTGGGTCGGGACCCCATTGGGGGTCGAACGACCATTTCACGGGGGTCACCAAACAACGCACTCCGCCATTTTTCCCCCCCTTTTCCTTAGCTGTGCTACTCCCTTTTATTCTATTGGCTTTTGAAAGCCAATAGAATAGACTCTCTTGAATAGAGTCTAATTCTATTGTCTTTCCAAAGCCAATAGGAATTGTCCAGGCTGTCTCTGCCCTGCTGAGCCGCCAAAAGCCCCAGTCTGCAAACGGTGCTGCACCAGTTGAGTAGTCCTCGACTTACGACCGGTTGAGTAGTCCTCGACTTATGACCGGTTGGGGGGGGGGTCGTGGCATTAAAAAGGTTGAGAGCCGCTGAGCTAATGGCAGGACACGAAAAATTTCGAGAGACTCTCTTAACGTTAAGGGGAGAGAAAAGCCCTTTGCAGCTGAGGTCCTCCCGTCTTTACTAGCCACATGCCAACAGTAGGTGGTGCTACAGCCATTCCGCAATCTAAATCGGGGGTGTCAAACCCGCCACGTCACGTGACGGGTGACAGCGTATCATGACTTTCCCCCCCCCCCCTTGACGGAGCTGGGGTGGGCACGGCTTCCGTGTGATGCATCCGGTCCGTTTGACACCCCTGATCTAAATCAATGTTTCTCAACCTTGGCGATTTTAAGATGCGTGGGCCTCAACTCCCAGAATTCCCCAGCCGGCATCCCCCCCCATGCCGGCTGGGGAATTTTATGTCCACAAGTCATAAAAGGGCGAAGTTTGAAGACCCCTGTCTTAAATCTAACAAACAAAATGGAGGCTGGCTGAGGAATTCTGGGAGTTCAAGTCCACAAGTCATAAAAGGGTCAAGTTTGAAGACCCCTGTCTTAAATCTAACAAACAAAATGGAGGCCGGCTGAGGAATTCTGGGAGTTCAAGTCCACAAGTCATAAAAGGGCCACGTTTGAAGACGCCTGTCTTAAATCTAACAAACAAAATGGAGGCCGGCTGAGAAATTCTGGGAGTTCAAGTCCACAAGTCATAAAAGGGCCACATTTGAAGACCCCTGCCTTAGTCCTCCTCCTCCTCTTCTCCTTCTCCTCCATTCCACAAACCCCCCTCCCTTCTAGCGCTGATGAGGTTACCTAGTTGGGTCATGAGACGCCTGCAAGGCAACCACCAAGATCAGAGGACACCACGCGCCTCAGCCCCCAGCGACAGAGAGTTCTGTTCTATCAGAACGTAGCTTCGCCCGAAAGCCTTTCGACCACCCACAAACGGCTCCCGCCACCACACTGTGACTTACGACGTTGTCGGCCCAGTCGGCTAGCACCGTCGCTATGTAGTTGACGGCGTTCAGGATCGCACAGTAGCGGAAGGCGAGAGGCGTTCTGGTTTCTTCCTTCATGACCTGAGTGAGCCGTATCCTAAAGTCGTCCACCAGCTCTTTCTGCAATTCGAGGAAGCGCAGTTTCCGAGCCGCTGTGGGAAGATGCTTGTACCTGTCTGGGTGGAAATCGCCAAGCGCTGGCGTTATTTTCAGGTTGTGAAAATCCCAAGTTCACCTCCAGGCTGGAAGGAAAGATCCATCTTCAGGTTCTTCCCCAAGTTCTCCTTCCTCGGTTCTTTTTACCTCACAGGCAGGGCCCACGAAAAACAGCTCTTGGTGTTCCAGAAAGATCTGCGTGGCCGGGCTGCTGCCCTGGACTTTCTTGAGATGGGACAACAGAATGCAGGCGGTCCTCGGCTTACGACCACCCCGGGGCCCAACATTTTTGTCGCTAAGCGAGACAGCGGTTCAGTGAGCTTTGGCCCCTTTTTTATGCCCCTTTCTCATCACGGTTTTAAGGGAACCGTTGCTGTTGTGACGTCGGTAACCCAGTTGTTAAGTGACTCTGCCCCCCCACCCATTGACTTGGCCCGCCAGAAGGTCGCAAAAAGGGATCACATGCAACGGTCCTCAATACGCGCCAGTTGCCAAGCGTGTGAATTTTGATCGTGTGACCGTGGGGATGCTACAAAGGTTGTAACTCTGAAAAATAGTTCTGTCACTTTTTTTTCCAGTGCCGTTGTAACTTTGAAGGGTCACATTCTATCCTACCCTACCCTACCCTATCCTATCCTATTCTATCTTACCCTATCCTATCCTATGCTAAATATTTTCCTCCTGTCCTATCCTATCCTATCTTATATATTTTCCTCCTATCCTATCCTATCCTATCCTATCCTGTCCTATCCTAAATATTTTCCTCCTATCCTATCCTATCCTATCCTGTCCTATCCTAAATGTTTTCCTCCTATCTTATCCTATCCTATCCTGTCCTGTCCTATCCTGTCCTATCCTAAATATTTTCCTCCTATCCTATCCTATCCTGTCCTGTCCTATCCTAAATGTTTTCCTCCTATCCTATCCTATCCTAAATATTTTCCTCCTATCCTATCCTGTCCTGTCCTATCCTACCTATCCTGTCCTATCCTAAATATTTTCCTCCTATCCTATCCTATCCTATCCTATCCTGTCCTATCCTAAATATTCTCCTCCTATCCTATCCTATCCTATCCTATCCTATCCTATCCTATCCTATCCTAAATATTTTCCTTTATTGGTTCCTCTTGAAATCTATTTCTACTTGACTACTAACGGCAGTTTATTTTCCCGTAAAAGATACGTTACCATTCCTGAACGAATAAACAACGGAAGCAAAATGCCGAAAGCCCGTTATAATTACCAGTGATCACCAGGAGGAGAGTCATAAAAGTCTCTGCGCAGTCTGGGACCTTCATTTCATCTACATCAGTGATGTCCTTGTACTGGGATTCCCAAGCAGCTTCCGATGACAGCATGGAATCCATTTTCTGAAGAGCAACTGTGAGGAAGACACAATAAACGAAGCTAAAGCTCATTCACAAGTGCAGCTACGGAGAAAAGGGTCAGTCGGAAAAACGAAGCCCCAGCTTTTTTTCTTTTTTTCAAATCTCAAGTGCAGACATTACGGTGCGTTAATTTTATACATGACGGATAGTCCTCGGCTTACGAGCACAATTGAGGCCCAAAGGTTTGTTGCTAAGTGAAAGATTTCAGTGAATTTCGCCCCGTTTTACGACCTTTCGTGCCACGGTGATTACTGTGCAGTTGTTACGACAATAAGACAGTTGTTTAAGTGAACCTGGCTTCCCCCTTGAAGTTGCTTGTCGGAAGATCGCAAAAGGGGGAATCACGTGACCTTGGGACACTGCCCCCGTCATAAATACGAGTCAGTTGCCAAGCGTCTGAATTTTGAACGTGGGGGATGCCGCAACTGTCCTACACGGGAAAAACGATGGTTTTGAGTCACTTTTTTTCCCAGTGCTGTTGTAACTTTGAACGGTCACTAAATGAACTGTCGTAAGTCGAGGACTACCTGTATTTAATCCCGCCACCTGTTTACATTCAGGGTAGCTATTGCCCGGGGGGAGAAAAAAAGGGGATTGTTTAATCCAAGGAAATGATTCCATAGCACAGGGGTCCCCAACCCCCGGACTGTGGACCGGTACCGAGCCACGGCACGCCAGCAACCGGTCCACACAAACAAGCAAAGACCTATCCGCGGGATGCAGGCAGCACACAAAACCACGCCCTCTCTGGTCCGCGGAAAAATCTCTCTCCACAGAACCAGTGGTCCCCGGTGCCCCGGTGGGAACCTCTGCCGTAGCATCTTACATTTTCTCTCTACCGTCAACCATCTCTGAAAGTAGGTTTCTTCTGATAAAATGTGCATGCAGCTGGGGAGAGTGCTGAGGTAGCCACGAAGACCGTGCAGCTCCCTTTCAAACAGGAGGATCTCGTCCACCAGGTGGCAGAAGAGGTTGTCGTCGTACAACATGCAAGGGATGTCGGCATCCAGCTTCTCCAGGATGAGCATGACCAAAGCCCGGGAAAACTCCAGCTTAAGAAACAAAAGAGATAAAAATTAAAACCAACAGATAAAAGGACCGTGTGGCTCTTGTCGGAGGCAGTCCTCGACTCACAACGGTTCATTTTTAGGGACCGTCGAAAGTCACAACGGCACTGGAAAAAAAAGGGATTGGCGCTCACGACCGCTGCAGCGTCCCGACGGTCATGTGATCAAAACTTCAGACCAAAATCTTCAAAAAACAAAAAAAAAAACCAACCTGTATGTCAAGGTAATGATTTAGAAGCTAACCAGCTTATATAATGTGAGATGAATGATGCAATGTTAGGAATGACTCAGCGGGTGTATGTATCCCTTTAAGAGTCTGAGTATAAAAGGGAAGGCTTTTTGCTGGAGTCTTTCTCTCTCGTCCGTTTCCCGTGGTAACTGTATCGGAGTTTGCTGAATCACCCCGTGCGTGTATCTTCTTTCTAGTGTATATTTGTAGATAGTATAATATAAACCACCATTTAATACAGTCCACTGTTCACTGTATTTACTCCAGGGTTACCTCAGTGCAATAAGACTGTGCGTGCTCTGACACCGAAGAATAGAGCAAACTAGGGACAAGAGCGAAAATAAAGTACGGCGGTCCTTGCCTTACAACAGGTCACTTACTGACTGTTCAAAGTTACAATAGCACTGCAAAAAAGTGACTGATGATCGTTTTTCATGCTTGCGATCGCTGCGCCATCCCCAGGGTCACGTGATCAAAATTCAAATGCTTTGGCAACCGGTTCATATTTATGACGGTCACAGCATCCCGGGGTCATGGGATTGCGACCTTGTGACAAGTGAAGTCAATGGGGGAATCCAGATTCACTTAACAACTATGGTACTACCTGAACAACTGCAGTGATTCGCTTAACAACTGTGGCAAGTAAAGTCGTAAAACGGGGCAAAACTCACTTAATAACCATCTGGCTTAGCAAAATATAAATTCTGGGCTCAATTGTGGTGGTAAGTCAAGGACTGCCTGTGGGACAATGGCTGCCAATCCACACGAAAAGGAGAGAGGTTTACCCTTGCGTTCACGGAAGTGCCTGCTTTGTCCAGGATGGGCTGAACTTTGTCTTCGAGAAACGACACGTGGTTCCCAATCCACATCAATACTTGGGTAAGATACCACTCGGGCTTGGGAAGGAAGACAAAATCAGAGAAAAACCTGTGCGCTGCTCCGTCAAAGGGACAACTGTATCAGCAACATCATGCCCCTACCTCAGAGTTGTCCGACCTTAGCAGCTTTAAGACCTGTGGATTTCAACTCCCAGAATTCCCCGGCCAGCATGATATAGGCCAGGGGTAGCAACCTTGGCTCTTTTATGACTCGTGGACTTCAACTCCCAGAATTCCTGAGCCAGCATGGGGGAATTATGGCCCCTTCATGACTTGTGGACTTCAACTCCCAGCATTCCTCAGCCAGCCATGCTGAGGGGACAGGGAGAGGTTTCCAAGCTGAGCCAGGCTGGCTTAGGAATTCTGGGAGTTGGTCCACGAGTCATAAAAGAGCCAAGGTGGCCTACCCCTGGTCTAGGAGGCTCACCGCTTAGAACAGGAGGACTTAGGACAGGGGTAGGCAACCTTGGCTCTTTTATGACTCATGGACTTCAACTCCCAGAATTCCTGAGCTAGCCACGCTGAGGGGAAAGGGAGAGGTTTCCAAGCTGAGCCAGGCTGGCTCAGGAATTCTGGGAGTTGAGGTCCACCAGCCATAGAAGAGCCAAGATTCCCCACCCCTGCCCTATATCAGGGGTCCTCAACCTTGGCAACTTTTAAGACTCGTGTACTTCAACTGCCAGAATTCCTCAGCCAGCCACGCTGAGGGGAAAGGGAGAGCTTTCCAAGCTGAGCCATGCTGGCTCAGGAATTCTGGGAGTTGAAGTCCACCAGTCATAAAAGAGTCAAGGTTGCCTACCCGATATAGGCCATTGGGGAGCCCGACCTTAGCAGTCTTAAGTCCTGTGGACTTCAACTCCCAGAATTCCACAGCCAGCCGTGGGTAACCTCCACTCTGCACATTCTCGGCTGGCCCAGAGAACCATCAGGGAACAAGTGAGATCTACTGGCCCCACTGAAGCAAGTTCACTTCTTGCTGAATATTAGGGAGAGACAAGTAGTCCTCAACTTACAGCAGTTCACTGACAGTTTGAAGTCACGACGACACTGGAAAAAGCGACACGGCCGTTTTTCCACCCTTACAGCTGTGGTCGCATCGTCACGGTCCCGTGATCAAAATTCAGATATATGACGGCTGCAGCATTGTGCAATCCCCGTTTGCGACCTCGTAACCAGCAAAGTCAACGTTGTTAGTAACTTAACGTTGTTACTAACTTAACAACAGCAGTGGTTCACTTAACAACTGGGGCAAAACTCACTTAACAACTGACTCACGTAGTGGCAGACATTTTAGGCTCAGTTGTGGCCGTACGTTGAGGGCTGTCTGTAATGACTGCATATTTTCCAATTCAGTTCTGTAAACTTGGGTGACTTTTCAGAGAACAGCTGAAGATTGGGGTTTGTTCCACTTACCCTCCTGGGCTGCAATCTTTACGAAGTAAGGTTTTAAAAACAGAACCTCTAAGAAAGACATGTCAAGCACAAGGCCCGGGGGCCGGATGCGGCCCACGAAGTGGTTTCATGTGGCCTGCAAAGCCATCCTGGAAACAGTGAGGGAACGGCCCCCGCTGCCTTGGCCCTGGCCCAGGCCGGCCGGGAGCCATTGTACAATTTTGGGGTGGCCATCTATGCTGAAACACATTCAGTCTTAGCTCCACAAGGCCGTCTGGAAGCAGCGAGGAACCAGCCCCTGCCGCGTCGGCCCCGTCCCCTGGGTGCATGCTGGGGAGGTGTCCCCCTTGGTGAGGAATGAAGAAATGGACCATGCCTTGGCACTTGCCCTGATCCCACCCTTCTGCCAGAGACCCCCAGATCTGTCCCACTCCTGCCCAGGCCCCCACAGGCACCCTTGATGCAAACAATGTAGAGCTGGCCATGCCCACCCAGTAGGCCACACCCACTCCATCCACGCCCACCCAGTAGGCCACTCCCACCCGCCCCTCCCCAGGGCAATCGCAATGCTGATGCGGCCCTCCATGAAATTGAGTTTGACACCCCTGCTCTAAGAGCAGGATCTGCCGATCAAGGCTATTCTACCTTGCTCAAGACGTTGGTTTGCCGATTCCCCGTGAAATGGTATTTGAATCTTTTCTGAAGGGGAGCCAGCATGATCTGCATTGGTAGTATAATAGGTGGAGTTGATGGAAGGAGATATTTTTCTGGCAGCTGCTTCGGTTTGGTTAATAGTTCGTCTCTGAGATTTTTTTTTATGCGTTAAGGTACAATGTGGTGAGAATACACGCCAGGGCTTACAGAGGTAGGATGGAATCCAAGAGTCCACCAAACAAGCATTTTTTCATTTCGCTGAAAAAAACAAAACCCTCTTCCCTAATCCCCCATTTCAATAAAACAAAAATTAAATATTATTTTTATTTGCCTGTGAACAAAAAGCCCGCTCAATCCTTAAATTATTGCCTTTGTTGATAGGATGGGAGATGGGAGATCACCAACGTAGGAGCGCCGGAGGTTTATAAGCTGTTCAGAAGAAAGATCTGTTTCATCGTTCGAATAAAATGAAAGGTGTTTCTTTTAATCAATACAGTCCCTTATAACGACTTGAATTAATAATCTAAGGACAGAAGGAAAAACCTTGGATTCCCCTGACATGAAGGAGATGGACAATCCTCGGTGAGCCATAAGACTATCTAGGTCAGAGGTTCTCAACCTTTTTAATGCCATGACCCCCAACTGGTCGTACGTCGAGGACTAAACCAGTCGTATGTCAAGGATTAAACCGGTCGTAAGTCAAGGACTAAACCGGTCGTAAGTTGAGGGCTACCCAACCGGTCGTAAGTCGAGGACTTTCCCTGCCCGGGAGCGCCGTGCATGCGTGGTGCCGCCCCCTGCGCCGGCCGAGGCGTAGCTGGCAAGCGGCAGAGGCGGAGCAGGCCGACCACTGGCTGGGCCACCAGCTGGCCCAGCCCAAGGGAGGTAAGGCACCCACCGGAAAAGGGAAAAAAAAATGGCGGACAGCCTTGCTTGGCGACCCCCGTGAAATGGTCGATCGACCCCAAATGGGGTCCCGACCCACAGGTGGAGAACTACTGATCTAGGTGGTCAGATATATTTCTTTGTCCAGGTGCACATGTTTCTACCTCTCTATATCTGCGTTATGTGTGTATCTCTGCACAAATGACAGAAGGGAAGAGACAGAATGCGTGTCAACATGCAAACATTAACGGGGGTTGCCCCACAATGCTTGGGCTCTTTCTATGAGGATATTCATAGAATATTATTTGCCGCCACCTAAGGTAGAACAACATCTTAACATCTGGGTTTTGGCTGAGACTGGGGACATCCACGACCCTACATTCCATAAAGAATTATACAATAATTCTGCATTTAAGCCAAGGCTAGCCGGATACTTAAAAAAAAAACTTAAAGAGGATACGATGCCTGCAGTTTGAGGAGTTGAGAAAACAGGGTCTCAAAGTTACTGTATATTTCTGCGGCGTTCGGGGAGGAGGGAGCCAGGCCCAAAACTTGGGATTGTGCTGGTCCAATAAATGGCCAATGCAGCTGTGTCAGCGTCTCTTCGAAATCACTGCCAAAAAAAAGACGAGCACGTCGTTATTGCTGTGACTGGGCGATCCAAAGAAAGCCTAAGACAACTGATGGACGTTTTCCTACCTGGACAATTTGTCTTTCAGGATCTTGTGCCAGAATTGAATAGTAGATCTTATAAAAGTCAAGAGATGTGAGCAGGAAGAGTCTTGGAGCTTGATATCTAACTCAGCCATGGACGCCAAGGCCGTAGCAGCCTCGGGCACGTTGTTGGTCATTAGATATTGCTGGATGTTGTCACTAGCAAAACAAAGAGGGGGGGGGGAAAACACAGTGGACAAATGAGCAGAGATGATACCGTGTGTGGTATTGCCGGAAGCTAAAATCATCAAATGAAACCAAAATAGAAATTAGTGTTTGTAGCTTGGGGTTGAACTGTGGTGTCTGATATTCTCTGAGCTTACTTGCAGACATTTCATGACCCAACTAGATAACATCATCAGTGTTAGCAATGGAACATCTGCAAGAAAACCACCAAGCCCACAGAGCGCCAAAGACCCCCTGTGCAAGAAAATAAATTAGCCAACTAAGTCCATATGGAAATCAAAAAAATGATCACAAAGCTACCTTTACAACTGTGTTAGGAGCCTGAAGGCAAAGAAAGATTATGGCTATAAACTACGTAAATAAATCAAAGAAAGTCAAGCATGTATTCACATACTCATATAGCATTTTTGCGCCACGGGGTGCAAAAATGGGCCTCGGGGTGCGAAAACGGGGCGTTGTGGTATCACGGGGTGCAAAAACAGGCCACCGCCCGCTGCAAGGCGCAAAAATGGCCACCGCCGCACCACGGGAGCAGAAACAAGGGGCTGCGCCACGCAAGAACAGGGTAGGGCTAGTATCATGCAGACGCTAGTCCCGCCCTGTTTGCAGCACACCCATGCTCGCGGCCCTGGGCGCACACGCATGCACGTAAAATGCTTACCCCTCCCTTTTCCTCCGGTCCGCCAACCGACGAAGATTGGTGGCCTCTGCTCTAAGCCTTCTGTTATACCAGCGGTTCTCAACCTGTGGATCGGGATCCCATTTGGGGTCGAACGACCATTTCACGGGGGTCGCCAAACAACGCAGTCCGCCATTTTTTCCCCCCTTTTCCTTAGCTGTGCTACTCCCTTTTATTCTATTGGCTTCTGAAAGCCAATAGAATAGACTCTCTTGAATAGAGTCTAATTCTATTGGCTTTCAAAAGCCAATAGGAATTGTCCAAGCTGTCTCTGCCCTGCTGAGCCCGCCAACAGTCCCATTCTGCAAACGGTGCTGCACCAGTTGAGTAGTCCTCGACTTACGACCGGTTGGGGGGGGGTCGCGGCATTAAAAAGGTTGAGAACCACTGTGTTATACTGAAACGATGCGAAACGATTTGAAACCTTCTTTACCTTAATTCTTCTACTTGTGAAATCTGTTTTAAGTAAGCCAGGTGTCTCTCGACTTCTTTTATTTGGCTTATCAAGGCAGCAAACTCCTCCATCCAAGGGCTGGAGGTCAACAGGTGGCTGTTCACCGCATCGTTCAAAATCCTCTCTTTCTCCAGAAGCTCGTGGAAAGATTTCTTCGAATCTTCGGCGTTCTGCAAGGCCTTTTGGATCCGTTTGGGAACTTCCGATGAAACGGTGAGAACCTGTCGTCGTCGGGAGAGCAGCAGGCGGTTATACGGACCACCTTCGACTTAACGACAACGCCCGAGCCCAAAACTTTTGTTACCGAGACCATTTAAGCGAGTGCGGCCTCATTTTATGACCTTTCGCGCGACGGTTGTTAAATGAATCCCTGCAGTGGTTAAGTTTGGTAACATGGTTGTTAAGCTGTTAACCTGGTTTGACTTTGCTTGTCAGAAGGTCGCAAAAGGGGATTACATGACCCCGGGGGGGACCCTGTGACCGTCATAAATATGAGTCAGTTGCCAAGGGACTGAATTTTGATCACGCGACCCTGTGGATGGCTGCAACGGTTGTGAGTGTGAAAAACGGTCGTAAGTCACTTTTTTCAGTGCCGTTGTAACTTTGAACGGTCGCTAAACGAACTGTTGTAAGCCGAGGACTATCGGTACTTCCTGGATCGTGTCCATTAAGCAACCAAAAACATTAAAACGGCAATAGAAAGCTACTCTTAAGAGAGAAAAAAAAACTTGTTTAAAATGGTCTGAATAAAAACAAGTTAAGAATTGGTTCAATACGTGACCTGACAATCAACGCCAATGTTATTTATCACATCCAAGGCGATGGATGTAATATTGTTGCATGTGCCAGATATATCCTATATACCAGGGGTCTTCCAACTTGGCAACTTTAAGACTTTGTGGACTTCAACTCCCAGAATTTCTCAGCCAGCCCTGGCTATATACAGACCAGCGGTAGGCAACCTTGACTCTTTTATGACTCGTGGACTTCAACTCCCAGAATTCCTGAGCCAGCATGGGGGAACTATGGCCCCCTTCATGACTTCTGGACTTCAACTCCCAGGATTCCTGAGCCAGCCACGCTGAGGGGAAAGGGAGAAGTTTCCAAGCTGAGCCATGCTGGCTCAGGAATTCTGGGAGTTGAAGTCCACAAGTCATGAAGGGGCCATAGTTCCCCCCATGCTGGCTCAGGAATTCTGGGAGTTGAAGTTCATGAGTCATAAAGCAGTCTAAGCCTAATCCAGGGGTAGGCAACCTTGGCTCTTTTATGACTGGTAGACTTCAACTCCCAGGATTCCTGAGCCAGCCACGCTGAGGGGAAAGGGAGAGGTTTCCAAGCTGAGCCATGCTGGCTCAGGAATTCTGGGAGTTGAAGTCCACAAGTCATGAAGGGGCCATAGTTCCCCCCATGCTGGCTCAGGAATTCTGGGAGTTGAAGTCCACGAGTCATAAAAGGGCCAAGGTTGCCTACCCCTGATACAGACCAATGTGATGTTACTTTAAAAACAGCCTTCCCGCTTTTAAACAGTTAAAATCCATAAACGTGGGCCCCGTGCCTTGGATTCCCTGGACAGATAGCCCTCGAATTAGAACTGCTATTTTGCCCCATTTTACGACCTTTCTTGCTACAGTTATTATGCAAATCCTCGCTTAATGATTCCCCAGACTTTGTCAGAAGCCGGCTGGGAAGGTTACATGTAGTGATCACGTGACCACAGGGCAGTGCCAACGGTCACAAAATAAATGCCAGTTGGCAAGCGGCTGGATTTTGATCAAGTGACCGTGGGGGGGCTGCAACGGTCATAAGTACGAGCAACTGGTCATAAGTCACCTTTTTTTCCCAGTGCCGTTGTAAATTCAGCCGCTCAAAAAATGGTTGTAAATCAAGGACCATGTCCGTGAAATATTATTTGTAATATGTGAACAAATGCCAAGCCTTGGAGGCAGCTGCCCATGGCTTCATTTAGAGTTCCAAATAGTTGCAAACCTAAAGAGGGGGCTATTTTTCTTAAAGTATTTAAACAAACCTTCCCTCCCAGAATGGCACTCACCTGTTCTTCTAACTTCATCTGGTTTTTTGACAACTGCTCAATCAGCTCGCCAAGCTTGCTTAGTGAGTCGTAATCCGTCCCAACGTTCCTTTCCACAAATTCAGACACGTAGAACGGGATGTCACAGGTCCCCGGGTCTTTAGGAATCCTTTTGTTCCCATGAGTCACGTTTTCCGCTTCGGCGCAGCCTGCGGGGCTAATTTAACAAATGGATTATTAAGTTCCTAGCCCAAGCAGTTGTAACGTTTGGTTTTTTTTTTCCGCAAACACCGAATACATTTGTAAAAGGCGTTATTAAGAGCTCGGTAAAAGTATTAACACCCCCCACAAGACAAATGTGAACTGGATCAAATCAAATTAAGAGGAGACTGGACAGCCATTTGTCTGAAATGGTGTGGGGTTTCCTGCCTGAGCAGGGGGTTGGACTAGATGACCTCCAAGGTCCCCTCCAACTTTATTATTATTATTAAATATGGCAATGCATGACAAGCAATCTCCCTACATACTAAAGGATTGGGTTTTTTTTGTTTGTTTAATGGGAAGTTATCATCCTCACAGTAAACGATTCCAGAATATCTTCTCTATTGAAAACACACTGTGCTTGGAATACTGACTACGGAATAAGAGTTGGAAGAGATTTTGGAGGTCTTCTAGTCCAACCCCCTCAAGCAGGAAACCCTATAATCATTCAGGACAAAGGGCTGTCCAGTCTCTTCTTAAAAACCTCCAGCGATGGAGCAGCCATCTGGAGGCAAGTCGTCCCACGTTAAACTGTTCTCACTGTTAGGAAATTCCTGCTTTGTTCCAGATTGCTTCTCTCCTTGGTTAGTTTCCATCCGTTGCTTCTTGTCCTGCCTTCTGGCGCTTTTCAGGTTAGATCCACACCCTCCTCTGTCCCATTTCAAAAACTGCCTATTTCAATGGGAGAAACAGGCTCGGTTCCTAGTAAAGGAAGCATAGTGCCCTCCCACAAAGTAGAGTTAAAACCAAGTTAAAAACAAGAGGAATTTTCACTGAGCAACTGATGGGACCGGGTTTAAACCCATTCGGCTGATGAAAAGGCGCTGATGAAACTTGGTGTCTAAAACAGAGTATTTGCTTAGCACTGCCAGGGTGGAAGAAATATCTAGCTGTAGATATTGGCTTATTAGCTTTTACACAGGAGTGCATTCGTGGCATTTTCCAAGTTATTGATTTGTTGCATTGTTAGAATTCCTCTTCCATCAGGATACTACCAGTAACTATGCTAGTATTCTTTAACTCACCAGCACGTGTCAATTTCTGCAGGATGTTCTGCTCCTTCCTCCTCCTCCTTCTCCTCCTCCTCTTCTCTGCTGAGTTCCTGCTAAGAAAGGAACATATATTGGTCAGTTTGGATTGCACAAGAAGGCTGAGCGCCAAAGAACAGAGGCCTTTGAACTCTGGTGCTGGAGAAGACTCCTGCGTGTCCCCTGGACTGCAAGGCGATCCAACCGGTCAGTCCTAGAGGAGATCAACCCCGACTGCTCTTTAGAAGGCCAGATCCTGAAGTTGAAACTCAAGGACTTTGTCCACCTAATGAGAAGGAAGGACTCCCTGGAGAAGAGCCTCATGCTGGGAAAGATGGAGGGCAAGAGAAGAAGGGGACGACAGAGAAGGAGGTGGCTGGATGGAGTCCCTGAAGCAGGAGGCGTGAGCTTCAATGGACTCCAGAAGATGGTGGAGGACAGGAAGGTCTGGAGGAACATTGTCCATGGGGTCGCGATGGATCAGACATGACTTCACAACTAACAACAACAAGCTTTCAAGAACAACTAGCTTTTTTCTTCTTCACCCAAACCTCCAGATGTGTTTGATTGCCTCCCAGAATTACAAACGGAATAGCTAATATTTGGGAATTGGGAGCATGGTGGTTGAGGTGGTTAGGACACTGGGCTGACGATCGGCAGGGTCGTCTTTGAGACCTGGGCTGAGCTTCCGCCACAGTCCAGCTCCTGCCAATCCAGAAGTTCGAAAATGGGCGACTGTGAGTAGACAGCAACATACAACTCTGACAGGCAGCTCAACAGGGACACAAAAGGAGTCCCTAACTGGGCATCCCAGGGGAAACGATGACGTCAGCGTCTGATCCTCTCACCACGGAAATGTTTCGGTAGGAACAAGTCAATTGCACGACTGTGAGAGGGACCTCGGAGTCCTAGTGGACAATCCCTTAAATAGGAGCCAGCCGTGTGCTGCAGTTGCCAAAAAAGCCAACACAGTGCTGGGGTGCATTAACAGAGGGATAGAATCAAGATCACGTGAAGTATTAATACCACTGTACAAGGCCTTGGTAAGGCCACACCTGGAATACGGCATCATCTGGTTTTGGTCACCGCGATGTAAAAAAGATGTTGAGACTCTAGAAAGAGTACAGAGAAGAGCAACAAAGATAATTAGGGGACTGGAGGCTAAAACAGATAAGGAACGGTTGCTAGAATTGGGAATGTCTAGTTTAATGAAGAGAAGGACGAGGGGGGACAGGATAGCTGTGTTCCAGTATCTCAGGGGCTGCCCCAAAGAAGAGGGAGTCAAACTGTTCTCCAAAGCACCTGAAGGCAGGACAAGAAGCAACGGATGGAAACTAATCAAGGAGAGAAGCAACCTAGAACTAAGGAGAAACTTCCTGACAGTGAGAACAATTAACCAGTGGAACAACCTGCCTCCAGAAGCGATGAATGCTCCAACACTGGAGGTTTTAAAGAAGAGACTGGACAGCCATTTGTCCGAAACGGTATAGGGTTTCCTGCCTGAGCAGGGGGTTAGACTAGATGACCTCTAAGGTCCTTCCAACTTTTTACTACTACTACTACTGAAAACCCATACTGTCACTTTTTTTCAGAGCCCTATAACCTTGAACAGTCACTGAACAAATGTTTGCAAGCCAAGGACCTGCATTTTGGTCTTCAGTTAAACAAAGAACTGCTGTAACTGGGGGGGGGGGGAAATTGTCGATCTTTTTTTTTTTAAATCTATGCCCATTACGTTTTTCAGCTTTCTTTTACTTATCATGTCAAAGTAAAGCAACCAGCTTTTAAACCATTCCACCATAAAGTGGTATGCTTTCCTATAAAAACAAGGTTAAAAGTATAAGAATACATTCAATAATACAGTGAAGACTGAATTCTATGAGATAAGTGGAAATTGGCCCTTCATAAAGTGAAGCAAAGCAGATGAAAATGATGAGTGTAAACATAAAAAGAGGACCTTTCCACTCTTTGGCATCCTACTGTTTCCGTCCAACGTTTAAAAGATCCAATCGCTGTAAATACGTGAATATTCTCTATCTTAGCACCCTGAATCCAACCTGCACTATTTATTTTTTTTAATTCTCCAGCATCTCTGACTTATTTATCGGAGGTCTCTTGAAACACCTGTCATTCAAGGTAATCAATGCGTGGCAGACTTTAAAAACAAGATGTCCCGAATACCAATATCGCAAAAGCACAACGCGAAATTCAACTCTCAGAAGTCTCAGCGTATGGAATTAATTTAAGTGGAGTTTTCCCGTTGCTTTCTAACAGCTAGCACAGAGGGAAAACTAGAAGGAACAAAAATAAATAAATGAATAAATCACTTGCCTCAATAGACACCAATGACGCAGCACTTGTAATCTCCGATTGCGCCATTTCCAATTTAGCAACTGGTTTTAGGTTTTGGATGAATTAAAAACAAAAAAAAGCTTAGCAATATTACCGCAGTATCGAATATTAAATGTCACGCACAAAAAGACGGTTTTGGATGTAATCAGAAAGCCGATGCAAGATTTAAAGCAAGTCTGGAAGCAAATGTCTGTGTTTATATCTCTGTTTATTCAGTCTGTTAGGAGTGTAGTGCTGGCTTCACTCAGTAAAGATGAGCGTGGAATGGATAGGATTAACCAAAGCGAAGGAATATAACCATCAGAACATACAGTGGCTCCTTGGAATTATTGCCTGGCTCCTGCCGTTGCTTTCCCAATGTTTTAATTTGTGTTGTGTGTCTTGTCCAAAATAGCCACGAAGGAGAACTGCTAGCCACATAACAACTGAAATCTCTGATCCAAATGTTCTTGTTTCTTTTATCCTCTCATGCATTCTCATTTTCCTCTGGGCATTCCAACAGTCCATAATTCTTCCGCTTATCTTAAAGAGTCATGTTCCTTAACAAGCCTTTGCTTTCATCTAGGGGGGGAAAAAAAACACACCCCATAATTGTCCATAAATATTAAGACATCAGTGTTCTCTCTCAGATGTTATTTATTGCCAAACGGTTTTATTTAGGCAAAAATAAGGGAACCCATTATAACGTATGACAATAACCATGCGGGATTATTATTTTTGGCTGCAATTATACACCCTCCAGGCAGTGTTCAACTCCATGAATGACAAACGCAAGCACAATCTGGGATAAATTAGAAGGACTATACCAATGGGATGCTGAGACAGCTGAATCTCAAGAACAGGAAATGCTGCAATTATGTGTTAATGTATGCTTACGGTAGAAATACTGAAATCCACACCGTTATCTCTTAACACATTTAGAATATTTTGCAGGCAATTTATTAAGCTAAAAATGCAAGATCTAGGCTCCTGCTGGCGGCCGCTAAAAGTTCTAGAGCAGCTTTATTCAACCTAGCTTTTTCAAACAGAAAACCTAAACTTGGGTGTAAGTGAAACACATCAAATTGGCAATAGCCTCCATGATCTCTGCAGGAACACAGTCTGCCATTTAAATTAAAAACAGCCTGTTTTGAAAAAAAGCAGCTCCTTTGGTCTGCCCTGCTGAATTAAAGCTTCTTCTTTACGTTTGGCAGATTGACTCCGATTAACCACCCAGGATGGGTTTCTTACAGCCCAAGACCAGAAATAAGGGTGATTTCATAATCTTTAGAGGACATATATTTTAATGTATAGTTTTATTACAAATGAAGCTAAGTTTAATTATATTATAGCTTTATATTAGATAAGGGTTAGGCAAATTAAACAAGCTATTATTGTAATTTCTTTGTTACCTTCTGGGAGCAGGCAGTATCGGAAGCAGAATGACTAAATTCTATAATAGCTTTATAACTTGTAGTATCAACCTTGTTAACTCCTAAAACTCTTTTTTCTGCTATGTATTCTAAATGGACATATTATATGTATGTATGTATGTATATATGTGTGTGTGTGTGTGTGTGTGTATAGGTATGAATAAATGTGTGTGTGTGTGTGTGTGTGTGTGTATGTATATATATATATATATATAGTAGAGAGCATATGTATATGTAGGTGTGTGTGTGTGTATCTGAAATTTTTGGATTGCTAACAAAGAATTAAGGGGGACTGCGATAGCTGTTTCAAGCTGATTAGCTCTCATCAGCCAGCCATACCCTTCTGAGTTTTGAAACTGAGCTGCTTGCATGTTAGGCAGCTGTGTTGACCCTACACACACACACATACATATTATACATATATATGCATACATATATATAGTACATACATACCTACACACACATACATACATACATATTATATATGTAATATGTGTGTGTAGAGAACATATGTATACGTATATGTACGTGTGTGTGTGTATATATATATATATATACATACACACACATATATGTACATATGTATACACATATATATATATATATACATACACATACACACACACACACACACACACACACACACACACACATATATATATACGCCTACACAAACACACACACACAATGAGCGGGCATCAGAATTTCATTTTTTTAATGTGTGCCAGTGTGTCCAGAGAAAAAAGTGACAATAAAGGTTATCTTATCTTAATAGGGGTGTTCAGAATATACCACATTTGACTTTATTTTTTTTACTTGCAATACATAATTGCACCCATTTCTCCCTGTCCATCCTGATTATAACTGTTGTCTTTTATTCCCCATTTTATAATTTCAGGTCGCAGGCCACCGTCTGAATGCGTCATTAAATACAAAATAACGGTCAGGCCTGGCAATCCCACGAAGGAGCCCTTAAGGAGAGGGCTGAGCGCCCTTGGAAGCGAACTGCTGGGTGGAGGCATCCAGACGTCCACAGACCTCGCCTAAGGCCCTCTTCCCGGGGAGAAGGGAACGGGAAACAAGGGAAGGGTCGTGTGAACGCAAACCCGAACGCGGCCACTCACCTCCTCCCCTGCGTGTCGCCGTAAGCCACGCCCCCTCCCTCTTCTCCGTCGGACGCGTCGGCACTCAAGCGGTAACGTCGCTCTCCTGACGTCACGAGACGACCCGGCGCAGGCTTTTGACGAAACCCTTCGCTTCGGGGCGGCCGAAGCCAGGGTGGAGCGCCCAGCTTCCGGTTTGTGGCCGGATGTGCTTCCTCGCGAAGCTTTCCTTGGAGAGTCGGGAGTTGTAGTGTGGTGGGGAAGGATGGAGACTTTTAGAGAGCTGGGTCTAAACCAGGGGTAGGCAACCTTGGCTCTTTTATGACTCAAGGACTTCAACTCCCAGAATTCCTGAGCCAGCCATGCTGAGGGGAAAGGGAGAGGTTTCCATGCTGAGCCATGCTGGCTCAGGAATTCTGGGAGTCAGAAAGCGGCCTAGGCCTAGGCCAGGCAACCTTGGCCCTTTTATGACTCATGGACTACAACTCCCAGAATTCCTGAGCCAGCCTGGCTCAGCTTGGAAACCTCTCCCTTTCCCCTCAGCGTGGCTGGCTCAGGAATTCTGGGAGTTGAAGTCCACTTTGAGTCATAAAAGAGCCAAGGTTGCCTACCTCTGGTCTAAACCAATAATTTTTTTTTTTTTTTTTTAACCAAACTTGGCCACTTTCAGTGTGTGGATTTTAATGCTCAGAATTCCTGAGCCTGCTGGAGGATTCTGGGAGTTGAAGTCCACCTCTCTGAAAGTGGCCAAGTTCGAAAAGCGCGGGTTTAAATTGTGCTAAATCTAAGGATGCCCGTGTGCCACGACAGGAGAAGGGCAGGGCAGCTGGCACCAGCCAAAATGACCTCCCTCGCCTACAGGACACCTGGACTCATGCCCAGCTAATGGTTCTCACCAGTCTTAACCTTTCAGTACTGAAATAGATTTTTTCCCTCTGATTACATTCCCACAGAATCATGATGGGTGAATTTTATGGGGCTCTCCTACCTACCTACTTACCCATCCATCCATCCATCCAGTCATCTGATCTATGACTCTATCTAATATGTGGATCTTCTGCAGTCACAACATAAGCCTAAGACTGAAAATCAGCCTTGTCAGATGCTATATTTTTTCTATCCTACTCTGGAGTAGAGAGTTGGTCTCTGACAGAAGGCCACCTGAAGAGACTAGGAGCATTTGAAATGTGGATTGACAGGCGGCTGTTACGTAGAAGCTGGATTGACAAGATCAGAAATGAGGAGGTGATAAGCAGCCTGGGAAGCCCAGGGAAATCATCAAAACAATTAAAAAAACGAAAATTAGAATATTTCAGACATGTGACGCGATGCCCAGAAAAAATACGGCATACTCCATTTAATCCTCCAGGGAAAAAAGGAAGGCAAACGAGGTCCAGGCAGAAGAAAAAGATCGTGGCTTCAAAATCTAAGGGACTAGTTTGGACAAAACTCAGCAGCACTTTTTTGTGTGGCGGCTGATAAAATCAGGATCCCCAATATGATCACCAACGTCCGATAACGGATATGGCACAAAAAGAAGAATATATGGATCCATCCATCCATCCATCCAATCATCTATTCTTTCTAATCTATAACTCTAATATACGAATCCATCCATCCTGTCATCTGTTGTCTATCATCTACTCTTTCTAATCTATAACTCTAATATATGGATCCATCCTGTCATCTGTTCTAGCTCTCTAATCTATGACTACCTAATATATGGATCCATCCATCCATCCATAGTTTGGCCACCTGATGAGAAGGAAGGACTCACTGGAGAAGAGGCTGATGCTGGGAAAGATGGAGGGCAAGAGAAGAAGGGGACGGCAGAGAATGAGGTGGCTGGATGGAGTCACTGAAGCAGGAGGCGTGAGTTTCAAGGGACTCCAGAAAATGGTAGAGGACAGGAAGGCCTGGAGGAATGTTGTCCATGGGGTTCCGATAGGTCAGACAGGACTTCGCAACTAACAACGACAACAAGAAATAAAATGCAGACACACTAAATTCAGAATGGGTATTTAATCCTGTTATGTCAGGGTGCAGGTATTTCCCAGTTCATCTGTTGCCAGCAACAGACAAACCATAAAATGTTTGTTGACATAACTACTTCTGTTATTGGCTGTTGGCGTCTTTCCAAGTTTGCATCTTATGAAAAAACAGATATTTAATAATGCCAGAAATCAAATCAAAGCAGCTGGAAAAGAGGTGAACATTTTGCCAACAGTAAAAGCAGGCTCTATCAGCATTCTTAAGGCTAAACACATCTGTTCATTGGATACAGATATGTATTCAATGGTAACGTTATGACGTTTAATATTCCCGAACTGCAGAATTAAATATATTTGCAATTTTAATCTGTATCGTGTTCAAGAAGACCTGTGTCCTTCCATAAGAGAATGCAACCTTTCCGAGCTGACGAAGCCAATCGGTTGTTTGAATTCTGCTGTAGGGAGCACCATATTTTGTTTCAAACTGTTTAAAAAACAAAAATTAAAATTGGACAGCCCATCCGAAATAACGTCTTTCCAACTAATACAAAAATACATCTCGATTAGAAATTATGTGGGTAAGATAAAAGGAGTTCAAGGAGAAACAGACTGCATGCTGAAACCTCATCCAGTCCCTGAAAAGCATTAGCGAGGCCAGGTTGTGTTTAACTGTGATTGACTTTTGATGCTGGTGTCCAATTTGAGCACTTCTCGGATCGCCATCGTGGCATAAGCGGACGGCGGGAGGGAGAACTCCATCTTCAGAGCCTTGTATTTGCCTGCTGGCGTAAGTAAATCAAACATTAATGATCAGCACCAGTTCTAAAACTCTCCCTGTCCCTGAACAGGATCCCATGCTGGATTAATTGGAATATTTACCTCTTGCGAGGACAGGAGGTAGTTTTCCTTCCAGTTTATCCAAGTCAGTAGTAAATAACGGGATTTTAGGATCATCGTATTCAATCAGTTCCCTTTTATCAAAAGACAAGGAGATTTTTAAAAGGAGCAATGGAGAAAAACTTGCATTTAAGTTAGAGTAGTCCTCGGCTGATGACCACGGTTGAGCACAACATTTACTTTGCTAAATGAGACAGATGTTAAGTGAGGTTTGCCCTCATTTTACAACCTTTGTTGTCACCGTCATTAAAGGAATCACTGCGGTTAAGTTTTAAGTGAATTTGGCTTTCCCCATTGACTTTGCTTGTCAGAAACTTGCAAAAAGGGGATTAAATGACCCCAGGACACTGCAACTGTCATAAATATCTTTCCAAGTGCGCGAATTTTGATCCTATGACCCTGGAGATACGGCAATGGTCATAAGTGTGAAAAACAGTCGTTAAGTCACTTTTTTCAGTGCTGTTGTAACTTCAGTCACTAAATGAACTGTTGTAAATCGAGGACTATCTGTAGCAGGACTATCTGTAGCAGGAAAGAGAGAGAATTAACAGGACTTAGACTTGGGACTTTAGTGGGAAAATTTAAGGACACTTTCCCACCAAATGTTTTAACTCAAGTGTTTGCATATGCCTAGCCCAGGGGTAGGCAACCTTGGCTCTTTTATGACTTGTGGACTTCAACTCCCAGAATTCCTGAGCCAGCATGGGGGAACTATGGCCCTTTAAGACTCGTGGACTTCAACTCCCAGAATTCCTTAGCCAGCATGGGGGAACTATGGCCCCTTCATGACTTGGGGACTTCAATTCCCAGAATTCCTGAGCCAGCATAGGGAACTATGGCCCCTTCATGAATTGCGGACTTCAATTCCCAGAATTCCTGAGCCAGCATGGCTCAGCTTGGAAACCTCTCCCTTTCCCCTCAGCATGGCTGGCTCAGGAATTCTGGGAGTTGAAGTCCACCAGTCATAAAAGAGCCAAGGTTGCCTACCCCTGGCCTAACCTAAGAAATAAAATCCTCAGAGCACAAGAGATGTCCAAACAAAAAGAATGAGGGTGAGTGAACAGGAACATGCATATATAATCCTGAATAAATTAGACTTCCCTGTATTTTTTTTTTACTTACCAGCTCACACTCTGAGGTCGGATAATAATCTTCCGGTAAGCCCCAGACAATGAGTAGTCTCGAATTTTGTGCTTCATGTTATTGATATCCAAGTTGTCACTAACTAGCATTTCCTTGTAGCTTTCCCCAACTGTCAAAAAAAAAAAAAAGGACAGATGCTGAACTATAATATGCAAATTTTTAAAAAAATATTATTTCCACATTCATGCTGAAGCATCTCCCTTCTACCATAGAAATGCAAACTTTTTAGTGCCCAGTTGAGTTTCGTTTTCGTGGGGGGCCTTAGTGCTCTCTTAGTTGGGTTCTTTTCTTGCTGACGTTTCATTACCAAATTAGGTAACATCACCACGGCCGATGCCATTACCTAGTATGGTAATGAAATGTCTGCCATAAAACCACCAAGCTCAAAGAGCGCCAAGGGCCCCACAATTCAACCTGAGCTACAGATATTCTCTTTTCTCAGTTTTATTTTTTTGTTAGATTACAACTATTATAATACCTGATATTGAAAAATGAATTTTTTTTTCCATTTTCATTTACCAATATCAGTAGGTAGATATTACAATAGTTGAAAAATCCACCGAATTAATCAAGAGTTGGTATGAAGTAGCTGTCAGATTTCAAAGGCAATTTTGAATTTTTGCATGCAGCCCAGAGTCATTTTTTCCATGAGATGGGCAGCCATATAAATCTTGATTAACTAACCAATAAATACAATAAATAAACTCAATCAAAGCTTTTCCATACATGAGAGTTAATACATATACACCCTACTGAAAATTATGAATGCCACACTTGAATTGTCGATTGGTTTATTCCTCTATTTTCTCCCTCTGGGCTGTTACTCAGGTAGGACCTGTTTTTGAGCAAAACTCTTACTTTTATGCTTTGGATAAATCACATCAAAACCAGGCAGCGGCATCACAACATCATGGATGGTGTAATTGTCGACATCCCCTTCTTCAATATGAACAGCTGTGCCTTAAAGTAAAAAAGAGAAGTTTTCTCATAGTATATTGTTTTTTTCCAAGCCTCTGAACCTTTTCCTTTTTCGAAAAAAGCCTCCTTCAAAAGCTAAATCAGACCAGAGACCCTTCAAGAGAA